AATGTGTCCAATTCGATAATAGAATGGAAAATTTATACATGTATACATGTTTTTAATCATTTGCCACTTGCAGTGGTCCACCAACTTATCAATATAGATTTAATGCAGTTTTGACAAAGTAAAGTTTTTAAAATGAAAATCATGCTTTTTCTGAAGTCATGACACCTAACCTTATTAAACACAATCAACTGTACAATGTTAACAAAAATACAAATATGATATCTCTTTATTGGAAAGCGATATGGGTCCTTATCGTCGTCGAAAAGTTTCGTGCAGAACTAACGTGCAGTCTTCCGATATGTATGAAACATATGTTGTGTACTTTATTTATATATCAAATCAGATCAATAAGATATAGGCAATCGTAAAATGTAGCTGTATATTATCTACATAACATAACTTGAAACTAAAACACTAGGCATTCTCATTTGTTTCCTTTATTTTATTTCCTTGAATGAACTCGTGCAAATAAAAAAAAAAAGAATCGATAGAGCAATGCATAATAGGTTTCCATGGGAATGCCCATTGTTGGCCAAGTTGTCCGTCAATTTTAGCAAGCCAGACTTGTTTCTTAATTGTGCAGGTCCACACCCCAAAAATTATTCTCCAAATTTTCTGATTTTTTTATAAACGAACCAACCAAAGTTATGATTTCATTTAGTAGTATTGTTGCCATGTAATTATATGTTTCCTAGATATTTGACTTCCTCGGAAGTTATCATTTCATCTTATAAAAGTAATCCTTCATTTATATTTGATGTTATCTAACAAGTAATAAAAGTTCTATTCAGGAACATTTTGGATCCCCGCCGGTCTGAAAATGGTTCCACGTCGAACTCATGGAAAGTTTTATTAAACAATATTCATCCAAATTTGAATATGGCCTTACAAGAAAGAAATGAATGCTCTGTTAACAGATGAATTTACTGGATGGCGAGTCAAAAATCATTAAACCCTCCTGAAAGGTGCTGCGTTGGTTATTATTCAAATTTCACCTCCACCCAGTGAAACTGTGTATATAGATGATGATGTTAACAATTTGGGTAATGTGTTGCAAATTATACTTTTGTGCAATGTTTTGCTTTAAGGGATATCAGAACAGAACATAACAATTTTTATCAGAGCTGAAAGTATGATTATCAGTAAACAAAAATGTGTGCATTGCTATTCAAAAGATGAAGGTCAACATGGACTTCAAAACGTTTATATGCATATCATAAATATTTGTAAAAAGACTGCACTTACAGTTAATAGCACTGAAGCGGAAAGGAAAGCATTTAAACAGTCTTGAAAGCTAAACATTCTCGGGTGTTTTTCGTGTTTAATGCGAGTTATTGTCCTCATAATGAGCATTTTTGTCTGGAACCAAATACAAAAACATTGAGAAAAATTAGGAACGGGCACATAATTTTGTGTATTATCTAAAACCTCTTATGAAAATTGACTGGAAAAGAGCACTGTTTATATCTAAAAACTAGAAGAATGAATAATATTGCCTTGCCTTGGAGATCTTAAAAATCATAAATGAGCATTGTGCTTTTTTTCTACAAAATTAAATTGTTAATATTCATATAATTTAAGGCAACAGTGCATTTGGTACTCACTACCAAATGGGGCCAGAAATCTTGCCTTAAATGACCAGTTTAGAATTAAACATCCAGCTGGTGTTGTGACCAAAAATGTTTTTACAGTGCCTGTCACTACCCATTGCTCTCTCATATTTGAATTTTATTCAGGACTGTTTGTTGTTTTACTTTTGCTTCCTGCTTATTGGCTAATTGTTTTGATCCATGCTTTTACTAATGCTTTCTGCTCATGCTGTTAGTTTTAATTTGCTTTTATTTCAATGGGGTGTTTTGATCATTATATGTGCTTATGTGAAGTTTTATTTACTTTGATCAATGTTCTGTTTACTTTGATACTTATGTGTGCTTATTTTTACCTTTGCTTATTGTGTATATGTTTTAAGTACCGTTAGTTGTAAAAGCTTTCTAGAATTATGTGTATAGTCAATTGTATAAATGCGACATTACACAATCATTGAATTTTTATGAGGTTGATACAATGATTTATCAAACCCCAGAGATGTGATATTGACCAAGGCCAACGGCCGAGTGTGAATGCCATATCTCTGGGGATGATAAATCATTGTATCAACTGAAATCAAAAGTCAACAATTGTTTTATTATATGTCATTTTATTTTTCTCCATTTTTCTAGTATTTGCTCAAGATAATTTTAAAACTGTTCCCTGTTTTTATACTAAATATATCATCTGCTTTTGCAGTGGCTAATTTTCATAAGTGGAAATATTCAATAAAGTTTACTAAAAAAATACACCAAAAACAAGAAAAAGAAAAAAACAGGAATTTACATGACGTCATAAACCTATATCCTTGACATTTCCTTGGAATATCTATATTTAGGTAAACGGACGCTGTTCCAAATCTTATATTAACCTCTCGTGATTTTTGCCACGGTGAATATGTTTTATCAAAGAGGATTTCCTATGCTTTAGCCAATGAGAAAACAGAAAATTTATAGTCATATAATACTCTTAATAAAATCTATTTGCTTACATAATAGTAACTGTGACCATGTTGATTAGTAACACCTTAAAAATAGTTGAGGTCAAGTCATGTAAAGTTTAGTTTCCCTTTTTGACCATGTTTCCAAGCATCCAAACTCCAAGATATAGAGCTGACATAACACTATAGTCATCATACTACAATCTGTAACCATTATACAATGTAGAAACATTAAGTCCATACCATAGTTGATGTCGGACAGCTTATAAACATGTATAGTAAACTAAGTTTTCTACTTTCACTCCCAAGTTCGTAATTTCAACCTTGTTTGGTACACTTTCTGGGGGTAGTGAACAATCATACATTGTATTATCTTTGCACTCAAAATATAGTGTTTACACACTTTATCAAGAATCTCAGGACCTCAACATTGAAATAAGTTTGTGATCTTTGATGTTCAAGCCTCAGATTCCTACCTTCTTTTTTAGATTTCTTCTTGACCAAGTAATCTAACAAAGGACATAATTTAAATCCACATGATATATTAGATTAGCAGATTTATGATAAGCTTGTTAAAAAAAACTTAGTTATTGAAATTTAAGTTTGTGACCTTAAATATCAAGGTAGAGATTCAAAACTTATTCCCATCATGCCTTATTTTGCTTATAAAAAACCTCATCATAGATACCATGATTGAAATTTTGTATGCCAACCACACTTTTTGTCTTCAAAAGACTCATCAGTGACGCTTGAATCAATAAAGTTGAAAAGTCCAAATAAATTACGAAGTTGAAGAGCATAGAGGACACAAAATTCCTAAAAGTTTCACCAAATACAGCTAAGGTAATCTATTCATGGGGTAGATATTCCTTAGTACTTCGAAAAATTCAAAGTTTAGTAAACAGTTAATTCATAATTATTACCATATCAATGATAATTCATGCTTATAAACAATTGTATGTTGTATCATAAATTAGCATCAGGCAGTATTTAAGATAACAAGCACACAATGATCTTGGGAACTCTAACATAAAACTAAACTGTGATTGTAACGAGCAAAAGATTCTGATATACGTTTTGATATATGTGAAAAATAATACATCAAATAATTCAAAGCAATATCCAAAATACAGAATGGACAATATCTATGAACAGACATTATTGCTATAGAGCTTCTACAACAAGTCAGCAGTGCACTAATAACCATCTGGATAAACTGATCAACATTGCCTATCAAAAGAAGAAATAAAATGCTCCTGCTGGGCGCAGCTTGATACGACCGGAGAGGTCGAACCCTGAACAGTTGGGGCAAGTATGGACACAACATTCAAGCTTGATACAGCACTGAATTTGGATTGTAATTAAATATTTGACACAGCATAGGTTTCTGACACAGAATGAATGTGGTCTAAGAACTTAAATTTTTTTAATTTACCTATTCAAACCAGATCATTATTATTTGCTTTTATATATAAATCAGAAATAACCAATTTAAAAAGGAAAACTTTGAAGAAAAAAAAATCCCCCCCACAAATTTTTTAAAACCCTTATGATTCATCACCCCCAATCTCAATCCCAGCCTTCCCTTTGTGGTATGGTACCTTGCAGTACAATTTCAGAGATATCCATACTCTTGAACACAAGTTATTGTCTGGAAACTAGAAAAATGCTTTTTTTTTGGCCCCAAATTCCTAAACGTTTAAGGCAATTACCCCCAAACTCAAACCCAGTTTTTCTTTGTGATATGGAACCTTGTAGTACAATTTCATAAAGATCCATACACTTACACACAAGTTATTGTCCTGAAACTAGAAAAATGCTTGTTTTTTTTTCCCTTTTCGGCCCCTAATTCCTAAAATTTTGAGGCAATTACCCCCAAAATCAATCCCAGCCTTCCCTTTGTGGTATGGTACCTTGCAGTACAATTTCAGAGAGATCCATACACTTGAACACAAGTTATTGTCTGGAAACTAGAAAAATGCTTATTTTTGGCCCCTTACGTCATACCAATATACGACCGCAAAATTTTTTTGGGGTCGTATAAAAACTACCATCAATCAATATTCAATCACTGAAGAAAAAATTATTCCTGTTTTTGTTTTTGATATATAATAAATAAAAGGACACCATATCTGCTCGCAATTCCATGTTCAGTTTGAGATCTAGGCTAAAATCGTATTTGGCATTGAATCTTTTAACAATTTTGTCTCACAATTCATATGGGCCTTTAACCTGACATGAGAATGTACTTAATTGCACAATCATATGTATCATGTTCAGTGAACCCTGAAATGAGTGCAAAACAGTCCTTTGGTATCTTACTTAATAAGTTCACAATAAAATGAACATGCATATTAATTTTCAAGTTCATGTGGCCACATCTTCATGATATCCTTAACCAAAAAATGGGATGGACTACAAATGAACAGCCAGACAGATTAACAGACAGACTAGGGGGCACATATAAACAACCTTTGAATGTAATACATGATTTTATTTGATAACATTTTTCATTATACATGTAGAAGCAACTCTCTTGAATGTTTTTGTTCATGTCACTATGATGATTCTGGAGGTTTTGAAGGAGGAGGAGGAGGGGGAGGGGCAATTGGTCCAGGACCTCCATGATGAGATGACACAGGTGGTGGAACAGGTGGGGGCACAGGAGGGGGTGGTGGTGCCGGCATGCCCAAAGGAGGTCCATGATGCATCCCTCCTGGTGGACCCATAAATGCTCCAGGTGGTGGTGGCATAGGGGGTGGAGGTCCAGGTCTCATCATTACTCCAGGTGGCGGAGGAGGTCTTGGTGGCATAGGCATCCTGTGTGGCCTTGGAGGAAGTGGCAGTTGTGGCACATTTGCTGGTGGAGGTGGTGGCTGTTGTTGTCCAGGCGGTGGTGCTGGAACTGGAATCTTGCCGTCTCCCTTAAAGGCAAACTGAAGGAAAAACTGAAAATAAAATCAAAGGGGGATTATAATACAAAACATATGTCATTTATGTGTAAATAAATGTGGAATGTGTCCATGGGACACAGATGATGCCCCAAAGACTGATTTTTGAAGTGCCAAAGAGCATTCAAACTTTATTGTCTAAATGCTCAGATGAAATGTGAAGAACAATGGGAAAAAAATCATTTTACCTATGTTTAGTATGCTTACACTAGTTTATTTAATTCACAATAGGAATTATGTACGAATAAAAATAGATATGTTCAGTATTCAAAACAAGTCCTTCTACTGTATGATTCCATTTATGTTACATAATGTTATAACCTGTTTTGTTTCCTTGTTCCAATGGGTCCATAGTTTCTTAGAGTCTTTGTCAACTTCCCTGCTTGGAACCTGTAAAATAAGATTATCACATTTTAAAGGGTTGTTTTAAGGAATATCAGGAATTAAACAATAATGTCAAAAAGCTTTAAGGAAAATTAAAACTATCAATTTAAACCATATTATTCACTCATAGTATTCAAACTTGCAACATACTATTTACTTATTTTATTTGGACAGTTTTATTAATTCTAATCTCTGCAGTAATTTATATATACTAATTCTTTATACAGAACAATATAAAATTTGTCATGAACTACCAATTTTGAAGAAAAAAATGTGATAAAATTCAGCAAATCCAAGTTGTAGTTGGAAATTATCACTTACTGAAGAAATGATATGTGTCATGTCAATATGATACACATTAAAGAAATATCTTCAATGTTGGATTCCCTGTAAAAGTGCTTCAGAGATTGAGCTACAAGTAAACATTAAAAAAATACTGATATACCTTAAAAGCTATTGTTTCGTAAGGTTCTGCTGCAAACAACAAATACTGCCACTTCCTGTCTGGTGGCTCCACCTTCTGTTCATAAGCTGCCATAAATCTGTGACGTGGCATGATGCCTTCCACAATTTCTGGGTAGTCAATCTGAAGTAAAATAAACAGATGAATCATTATTACATTTTTTTCACAAGGAAGACTTACTATGTAAAGTGTTAATTAAAAACATAACAGGATAAGAGCTGTCACATTGACAGCACAGGTTTTTTTTTATTTTGAAGTGCTTTCAGGCTTGTTTGATCTGTAATGTTGTGGCTAATTTCAAATCAATCATGGACCATAACTCCTGAACGGCAAAAGAGAAAATGTCAATATTGAGCTTGACCTCCATTTTTTCATCAGTAAAAACACATTAAAATTTTATAAGCATTTGTCGAAAAGGGTTCATAAAGTTGTTGTATACTGAAACCACATAAAGAACCATATTCCAATCTATCAAGGACTACTTATTACTGTAAATTCAGAAATTATTGCATGCATTTATTGTTGCGAATTTTGAAAAATGGACTCAAATGCGAGATTAATTATTGCGTTTTCAGGAAAATATGCATACAGTTATAGTGTCAGATATCTGAATGCGAGTTTTTATTATTGCAATACTCAAACAGTAGCATTATTCGCATTAATAAAAACCTCGCAATAATTTCTGAATTTACAGTATCATATTGAAAATAAACAATTTGATTCAATATCAAGCAATATCCAATTCTCAGTCGTTATGAATTTTAAATATTGCTTTTATAAATTTTTTTCTAATGGGAAATCAAAACAATATCTTCCAATTTTTCACAACCAAAGATTAACAACATGCTTTAATTGAGTATGAATTCAAAGTTTCTATTTTTTATAACTAATAACAAACCTGAAAAAGTAAGCTCTGCTGATGATTTTCTGAATCTCTCTGTTTTGTCACTGAAAAAAAAAAGTAATATTCTTTTCATACTTAATTTTATCATAAAACATTCCATATTTATTCAATAAATAACAATCATTACTTCATAAACAAATATAACACATATTATTCATTTTAAATTTCAAGAAATATTCATTTATTGTAAAGGCTAAACAGTTCCACTTCAAATTAACTTAAATACCTACAGACAACAAAAGAATATTGTTTAATGTTGCCTGCTTAAGATACAGCTGCAAACATTTCATACATATTAAGGACTAGAATAAGATAGATTTATGTAAGACAATGCCACCCTGAAATCCATATATGTTACTAAAATAATTCACCCTCTTAAATTTGTTTAAAGAAAACATCTAATTTAAGCAGATTTTGCGAATTGTTTTTGCAAACAAGACTTGTCTATACAGAAGTAAAATATCAAAACATCAAAGTGTAATATAAATTGCACTATAAAGTGACTTTCAGATTTGCTTTTGTTCCAGATTCCTTGCTTCCAGTGACTTGTCCCATGTGAACTGAACAGGACACAAGGTATGGATAATTCTTCCTGTATAAACATTAAAAAAGTTTCTTTTACACAGAGTTCCATGTTATAAATTTTTTTCCCCGAAATTCTAAAATTACATTTGAATACTAGTACATACAGTAATAAAACTTTAAGATGAATGTAAAATTAACACAAAGTTACCTTTATAACCAGGACGACCAATTTTCACAAATTTTTTAATGTCAACTCTTGGCTTTTCTGGTGCAGGCTGTTGGGGTGCTTCCTTAGCTTCTTTTGCTGCTCTGCGAGCTCTGAATGTAAATATATATTTGAAAATTTACTTAATCTAAAAATCCTTTTTGACCTTGTTTTTAATTATCTCTAACCTTTAAAAAGTTATTATCATGTCTCTTCTTGCTCTGGGTATTTGCAGAAAAAATGGCAAGTTGCATTTAATCTATAATGCTATGTGCAAATAAAAAAAATCAAGAAATAAAACAATTCTTATTCAAGGAATTCTTTAATATACGCATACATTTATTTTGCCTCCTGTGATAAATTCATAGAAACAATATAAAAAAAGCTTGTGGAAAAGAACATTACTTACAAATTAGCCTGATGCTTTTTTCCCTGGGTATGAGCTAAGTAACTGCCCTGTAATAATAATAAAGTGTTCAACTGTAGATATTTTATTATATAAATTACATAATGAATGATAAAATTCTTTTTTCATATGTTTTTGATTGCTATGTTTATCATACATGTTAATACTATTTGGGTGGTCAGATACTAATGATAAAACAGGACTTTACAATTAAGAATCTCTGACTTTCTTTTCATAAACCAAACCAGAAGAGTAAAATATTTTATTTTGAATTTGAATGCATCTATTCATAATTAAATATGTTTAGCAATTACTTAAGGTTAATTTTGAGCCCATTATTCTGTATTTATACTTCTTTGTCATAATAAGTTTAGTAGCTGTAATTGAAATTTTCTGTCAGTATATAATGCTAAAGGTTAGGGAGTTACTGGTTCAATATTCTTAACCAACTAGCATGAATTTACATGCAACAGTTCTCACAATGCCAACACTATGACAAATACTGTTCAAAGTTATCCTTGACTGTCAGCTCTTTTAATAAAACCTGCTATCATGCACAGACTGTCTATTAGATCAGATTGATTAATTGATTGTTCGTGTTTAATGCCACTTTCCGCACTCTTGGCCATATCATGGCAGCCATATGAAAGCTGACAGTGATATGAAAGATGAGTTCTTAAAGTTGATGATAAAATAACAATGTGCCCTCTTCTCCCTTAAAGGTTTTCTGCAATAATTCCATACATACCTCATTGTTATGTAACGTCAGACAGAGTTTACATTCGTATGATCCCAAATGATTCTTCATAAAATACGGATCCTGCAAAAAAAAAAAACCATATGTATATGTATAGAATTAACACACAGTTAAACAGAATGCAAATAGTTTTAAAGATCTAGATATAGTTTAGAACAGTATAATTGATTTAGCTAATTGGAAAGAATTATTATAATGAAAACTTGTCTTTCTTGTAAATGGTTTATGCAAAGGGGATGAACTTAATAGATTCAAATCAATTTCCATTGTTACTAAGTTAATGCCTCCTTTCTGGTCGTAATAATAACCCCCAAAAAATATATTCATAATCACAACTGAAAACTTTATGTTGAGTGGTAAGTTTACTCACTGTGATAAAACTTTAGAACTGTGAAGTTTAAACATTGAGTTATACAAACATTTGACAGAAGAAATCATTTTTAAATTAACAGCCTGCACAAGAAAATGAAAGATTGTGATATGTCTTTGGAATAAGTTCTTGTTCCACCAAATTCCACCCACAAAAACACCCAATTTCTTCCATCAACTAACTCATCCCAAATTTGAATTCAAGAAATACAATAATATAATTTTGTGCATCATGTTATAAGATTTTCTGTTTTCTTACAGACAGTCTTTTATATTGCCCTATGATAGGCTGGAATATCTATCTCTAGTCTTAGAGCTTTAATTCCTGTATCAGAAACCTTATTGTAACCTGAACACATAATAAAATGCTCCGCAGGGCGCAGCTTGATACGACCGCAGAGGTCGAACCCTGAACAGTTGGGGCAAGTATGGACACAACATTCAAGCTTGATACAGCTCTGAATTTGGATTGTGATTAAATATTTGACACAGCATAGGTTTCTGACACAGAATGAATGTCGTCTAAGAACTTAAAAATTTTAAATTGGACATTCACCTATTATGGTCCAATATCCAAAATCTAAATACATGGTTAGATTCAGCATATCAAAGAACCCCAAGAATTCAATTTTTGATGAAATCAAACAAAGTTTAATTTTGGACCCCGATTTGGACCAACTTGAAAACTGGGCCCATAATCAAAAATCTAAATACATGTTTAGATTCAGCATATCAAAGAACCCTAAAAATTCAATTTTTGTTAAAATCAAACTAAGTTTAATTTTGGACCCTTTGGACCTTAATGTAGACCAATTTAAAAACGGAACCAAAAATTAAGAATCTAAATACACGGTTAGATTCGGCATATCAAAGAACCCCAATAATTCAATTTTTGATGAAATCAAACAAAGTTAAATTTTGGACCCTTTTGACCTCAATGTGGACAAAGTTGATAACGGGGCCCAAAAATCAAAAATCTAAATACATGGTTAGATTCAGCATATCAAAGAACCCCATATATTCAATTTTTGTTGAAATCAAACAAAGTTTAATTTTGGACCCCGATTTGGACCAACTTGAAAACTGGGCCCATAATCAAAAATCTAAATACATGTTTAGATTCAGCATATCAAAGAACCCTAAAAATTCAATTTTTGTTAAAATCAAACTAAGTTTAATTTTGGACCCTTTGGACCTTAATGTAGACCAATTTGAAAACGGAACCAAAAATTAAGAATCTAAATACACGGTTAGATTCGGCATATCAAAGAACCCCAATAATTCAATTTTTGATGAAATCAAACAAAGTTAAATTTTGGACCCTTTGGACCTCAATGTGGACCAATTTAATAACGGGGCCCAAAATCCAAAAACTTAATACACGGTTAGATTCAGCATATTAAAGAACCCCAAGAATTCAAGAATAAAACCCCATTGAAATTGATCAAGAAATAAGCAATTTATACGAAGTATCTTCTTTTGCACAATACTGTGCAATTGAATATTTCTTGCTATTGCGCAATACTGTACAATTGACAATTTCTTGCTATTGCGCAATATTGTGCTATTGGATATTTCTTGCTATTGCGCAATACTGTGCAATTGAAGATTTCTTGCTATTGCGCAATACTGTGCAATTGAAGATTTCTTGCTATTGTGCAATACTGTGCAATTGAAAATTTCTTGCTATTGCACAATACTTATTAGATAATAATTTACACATCCTGTTTGGTGTGTATCTCCTACCATATCATTATTATTTGCTTTTAAATATTAATCAGAAATAACCAACTTAAAATGGAAAATTTTAAAAGAAAAAAAAAAGGAAAAAAAGGAAAAAAAAAGAAAAAAAAAAAATCCCCCCCCAAATTTTTTGAACCCCCTTATGATTCATCACCCCCAAACTCAATCCCAGCCTTCCCTTTGTGGTATGGTACCTTGCAGTACAATTTCAGAGAGATCCATACACTTGAACACAAGTTATTGTCTGGAAACTAGAAAAATGCTTATTTTTGGCCCCTTTTTGGCCCCCAATTCCTAAACGTTTCGGGCAATTTACCCCCAAACTCAATTCCAGCTTTCCCTTTGTGATATGGAACCTTATAGTACAATTTCAGAAATATCCAAACACTTACACACAAGTTATTGTCATGAAACTAGAAAAATGCTTGTTTTTTGCCCCTTTTTTGGCCCCTAATTCCTTAAAATTTTGAGGCAATTACCCCCAAAATCAATTACAGCCTTTCCTTTGTGATATGGAACCTTGTGGTACAATGTCAGAGAGATCAATACACTTACACACAAGTTATTGTATGGAAGTTACAAAAATGCTTATTTTTGGCCCCTTTTTGGCCCCTAATTCCTTAACCGTTGGTACCATAACCCCCAAAATCAATCCCAACCTTCCTTTCGTGGTATTGAACATTATGGTAAAATTTCATGGAGATCCATTCACTTAAACTAAAGTTAGAGTGCGAAAACCAATGTGTCTTCGGACGACGCCGGACGACGCCAGACGACAACGACGACGACGCCGGACGACGACGACGCCAACGTCATACCAATATACGACCAAAAAATTTTTAATTTTTGCGGTCGTATAAAAATTAAAGAAAATATACCTTGTTCAAGTCAATTGTCTCTAAAGCTAACTGACGTAGCCTTTCTCTTCTATCTCTGTTTGACTCAGAGGCCGAGGCTACTCCTCCAGACCCTGTCTTTCCTCCTGCTCTATGTTGGAAATCCATGGTCTATTTCAGATGGTCAATCTATAAAAAAACAGATATTCATGTATTAAGAAACAATTACATCAACTCATTTAAAATACACTGCTCTCAATTTTTTAATATTAAATGGTGTTATTTTATTCTATAGAAAACACATAAATTGAGTTCAAACAAAAATGAATCTGCTTTACTTCAGTTTTTATGCTAAAACAAAACAAAAAACAAATACAGAAGACAGCGAAAAATGACAACCACTTGGTTACAATTTTCATGCATCTGGCTTGGGACAAACACAAAACAATTGTGACAGGGTTAAACATGTTTGTGACTGTCCAACCCTCTCCCCCTCACCTGGGACAATGGTGTTACAGTACAAAAATAGAATAAACTGTAAAAATCAGCTAATAACGGACAAGGCTTATCAGATCGGCACAAAGCATGAAAACCACATAACACAAGAGTGCACACGCTGAAATGTCTCGCCTTCTTTACTAATCATTGATATTATGTTGATAGTCCTAAATATAAAGCTTTATTACAACTGTCACATAAAGTTAACATTAACCAAGTAACCTTAACATTGACCAATGAACCATGAAAATGAGGTCAAGGTCAGATGAACCATGCTAGGCAGGCATGTACAGCTAACAATTCTTCCATACAACAAATATAGTTGACCTATTGCTTATAGTTTAAGAAAAACAGACCAAAACACAAAAACTTAACACTGAGCAATGAACCTTGAAAATGAGATCAAGGTTAAATAAAACCTGTGTGACTGCCAAATAGATCATAAAATATTTCCATACACCAAATATAGTTGAACTATTGCATATAGTATTAGAAAAAAGACCAAAACTCAAAAAACTTAACTTTGACCACTGAACCATGAAAATGAGGTCAAGGTCAGATGACACCTGCCCGCTAGACATGTACACCTTACAATCATTCCATACACCAAATATAGTAGAACTATGGCATACAGTATAAGAAATACAGACCAAAACACAAAAACTTAACTATAACCACTGAACCATGAAAATGAGGCCAAGGTCAGATGACACCTGCCAGTTGGACATGTACACCTTACAGTCCTTCCATACACCGAATATACTAGACCTATTGCTTATAGTATCTGAGATATGGACTTGACCACCAAAACTTAACCTTGTTCATTGATCCATGAAATGAGGTCGAGGTCAAGTGAAAACTGTTTGACGGGCATGAGGACCTTGCAAGGTACGCACATACCAAATATAGTTGAACTATTGCACATAGTATTAGAAAAAAAGACCAAAACTCAAAAACTTAACTTTGACCACTGAACCATGAAAATGAGGTCAAGGTCAAATGACACCTGCCCGCTAGACATGTACACCTTACAATCATTCCATACACCAAATATAGTAGACCTATGGCATACAGTATAAGAAATACAGACCAAAACACAAAAACTTAACTATAACCACTGAACCATGAAAATGAGGCCAAGGTCAGATGACACCTGCCAGTTGGACATGTACACCTTACAGTCCTTCCATACACCGAATATACTAGACCTATTGCTTATAGTATCTGAGATATGGACTTGACCACCAAAACTTAACCTTGTTCATTGATCCATGAAATGAGGTCGAGGTCAAGTGAAAACTGTTTGACGGGCATGAGGACCTTGCAAGGTACGCACATACCAAATATAGTTGAACTATTGCACATAGTATTAGAAAAAAAGACCAAAACTCAAAAACTTAACTTTGACCACTGAACCATGAAAATGAGGTCAAGGTCAAATGACACCTGCCCGCTAGACATGTACACCTTACAATCATTCCATACACCAAATATAGTAGACCTATGGCATACAGTATAAGAAAAACAGACCAAAACACAAAAACTTAACTATAACCACTGAACCATGAAAATGAGGTCAAGGTCAGATGACACCTGCCAGTTGGACATGTACACCTTACAGTCCTTCCATACACCGGATATACTAGACCTATTGCTTATAGTATCTGAGATATGGACTTGACCACCAAAACTTAACCTTGTTCATTGATCCATGAAATGAGGTCGAGGTCAAGTGAAAACTGTCTGACGGGCATGAGGACCTTGCAAGGTACGCACATACCAAATATAGTTATCTTATTACTTATAATAAGAGAGAATCTAACATTACAAAAAATCTTAACTTTTTTTTCAAGTAGTCACTGAACCATGAAAATGAGGTCAAGGACATTGGACATGTGACTGACGGAAACTTCGTAACATGAGGCATCCATATACAAAGTATGAAGCATCCAGACCTTCCACCTTCTAAAATATAAAGCTTTTAAGAAGTTAGCTAACGCCGCCGCCGCCGCCGGATCGCTATCCCTATGTCGAGCTTTCTGCGACAAAAGTCGCAGGCTCGACAAAAATGACTCCCTCAGACAGACTACTCACAGTTACTGAAAGCTAGGTCAAATCTCAATTTCAATTATTAAATATTAAGAATGTATTCTTCTTCAATTACAGAAAACCATCAACATACTAATGTTTGCTTTTTCAGATAATATGCCTGGTATTTAGGTTCCAAATACAATGTATACAATTTAGAAAACAAAACAAATTAAAATAATATTTTGTTTGACATATTTGATATATATATGTATTTTTCTTATCTATCAACATGGACATTTGTTTAGGTTTTTGCTTAGTTTTCAGATTTGCATTTTTATTCATTAAGAATGATCAAAATAGATAATCTATTTATCACACCTATGGGCATGCGTCAACTAGCAATCACGACTTAGTGCACCCTTGAGAGTATCTGATGAAACATGTTTGGTATTGTCTGGAGATAGAACTGACTATAAAGAAGAATGCTTTGTGATGGAATAGTAATATTTTTGTTTACTATTTTTAGAGCATTATCACTTATTAGTCTAGTTTTGAGTCTTCCTTCTTGAAGTGTATACCATCAAAGTAGAACATGTGACGTCACATACGTTCAGCTGCCCTATTTCTTGGCATACAAATGTATGAAATGTAACCACATCAAATTAGCGTCAGAAAGAGGATTAAGGTTCATCATAACAAATGGACAAAAAAAATCCATAAAAGATTTCATCTTTCTGTTACACAAAATGCATTTAACTTTTATATATCTAGTGGATGCCAGGCCCTAAAACTTTTCCAACTACACAGGTTAGTCTGCACTCAGAGTAATTTTTGAGGTGTAAATGCAGCCATTTTTGGCCATTTGTTATGATGAACCTTAAGGTGTGAAGTGTTTCATACACACTGCTGGTGTTCGTCTGTGTTACATTCAAATCTTGCTGCACGACTTGGTGGTATAGTACTTCAGTTGTGTGAAAGTCCAAATAAGTGCAAAAACATTCTAATTTAGGTCTTATCGATATTTGTAAACTATTTCTTTAGGAATTATAGTTATCTCGTACCAATTGTAAACTTGTACCACTAAAAACTGGGCACAGCTTGATACGACCACAGAGGTCATACCCTGAACAGTTGGGGCAAGTATGGACACAACATTCAAGCTTGATACAGCACTGAACTTGGATTGTGATTAAATATTTGACACAGCATAGGTTTCTGACACAGAATGAACATGATGAATGTGGTCTAAGAACTTAAAAAATTTTAATTTACCTATTCAAACCATATCATTATTATTTGATTTTATACCGGTATATAAATCAGAAATAACCAATTTAAAATGGAAAATTTTAAAGAAAAAAAAATCCCTCCCCCAAATTTTTTGAACCCCCTTATGATTCATCACCCCGAAACTCAATCCCAGCCTTCCCTTTCTGGTACAAAAAATGTATGGTACCTTGCAGTACAATTTCAGAGAGATCCATACACTTGTTATTGTCTGGAAACTAGAAAAATGCTTGTTTTTCGCCCCTTTTTGGCCCCTAATTTCTAAAATTTTGAGGCAATTACCCCCAAACTCAAACCCAGCTTTCCCTTTGTGATATGGAGCCTTGTAGTACAATTTCATAAAGATCCATATACTTACAAACAAGTTATTGTCTGGAAACTAGAAAAATGCTTGTTTTTTGGCCCCATATTCCTAAACATTTAGGGCAATAACCCCCAAACTCAAACCCAGCTTTCCATTTGTGATATGGAACCTTGTAGTACAATTTCATAAAGATCCATACACTTACACACAAGTTATTGTCCTGAAACTAGAAAAATGCTTGTTTTTCGCCCCTTTTTGGCCCCTAATTTCTAAAATTTTGAGGCAATTACCCCCATCATCAATCCCAGCCTTCCCTTTGTGGTATGGTACCTTGCAGTATAATTTCAGAGAGATCCATACATTTGAACACAAGTTATTGTCTGGAAACTAGAAAAATGCTTATTTTTGGCCCCTAATTCCTAAAATTTTGAGGCAATTACCCCCAAAATCAATCCAAACATTCCCTTTGTGATATGGAACCTTGTAGTACAATTTCAGAAAGATCCATACACTTACATACAAGTTATTGTCCTGAAACTAGAAAAATGCTTGTTTTTTGCCCCTTTTTGGCCCCTAATTCCTAAAATTTTGAGGCAATTACCCCCATCATCAATCCCAGCCTTCCCTTTGTGGTATGGTACCTTGCAGTATAATTTCAGAGAGATCCATACATTTGAACACAAGTTATTGTCTGGAAACTAGAAAAATGCTTATTTTTGGCCCCTTTTTGGCCTCCAATTCCTAAACGTTTCGGCAATTACCCCCAAACTCAATTCCAGCTTTCTCTTTGTGATATGGAACCTTGTAGTACAATTTCAGAAAGATCCATACACTTACACACAAGTTATTGTCATGAAACTAGAAAAATGCTTGTTTTTTGCCCCTTTTTTGGCCCCTAATTCCTAAAATTTTGAGGCAATTACCCCCAAAATCAATCCCAGCATTCCTTTTGTGATATGGAACCTTTTGGTACAATATCAGAGAGATCCATACACTAACAGAGAAGTTATGTCTGGAAGTTACAAAAATGCTTATTTTTGGCCCCCAATTCCTTTACTGTTGGTACCATAACCCCCAAAATCAATCTCAACCTTCCTTTTGTGGTATTGAACCTTGTGGTAAAATTTCATAGAGATCCATTCACTTAAACTAAAGTTAGAGTGCGAAAACCAATGTGTCTTCGGACGACGCCAGACGACGACGACGACGACGACGACGCCAACGTCATACCAATATACGACCACAAAAATTTTTTTGCGGTCGTATAAAAAACTGTTTGCATCTCTGCAACGTCATACCAATATACGACCACAACATTTTTTTGCGGTCGTATAAAAATGCTTATTTTTGGCCCCTAATTCCTTAACTGTTGGTACCATAACCCCCAAAATCAATCCCAACCTTCCTTTTGTGGTATTGAACCTTATGGTAAAATTTCATAAGAGATCCATCCACTTAAACTAAAGTTAGAGTGGGAAAACCAATGTGTCTTCGGACGACGAGGCCAACGTCATACCAATATACGACTGCGGTCGTATAAAAACTCGTTCCAATGCAAACTCGTACCACTGCTAACTCCTACCAAGGTAAATTCATACCATTGTAAACTCGTACCAACTTATTTAAATGCATTCAAATGGTGTTTAATGATGAATTTATACTTTAATTTCACTCAATACCTCTTAAGTCTGTCATGTCTGTAAAATGTATATAATTTGAAATTACAATGACCAATTTGTAGCTTATTTTCCTTGTCTAATTGGATAGAGAAAACCGTGGCAGATTGGCTTTGTTGTCTCCCTTGAATAGACTCTTTTTTAAACTTTTACTGACAACTATTTGATTTAATTTTTAATCATTCCAAATCAGTAACATTGAATAGATTTGGGTATTTTTCTATTGTTTCTAAAAGGAATTTTATTTAATGAAAGAATTTATTTATTGTGTTTTAAAGGTTTAAAATTGTTTATGACCAACATTTAGAAAGTATGAAATTTATTTTTATACAATAATTCAGCACTTTGTAGCAGAATATTACCCTGCTGTTATTTCATATAAATGATAGGTTATTATCATTCTTCTCATTTATATATATATCACCTGTAGTGGAAGATATGCATCACTCTTTCTAGAAAAGTAGCTGATATATGAAATGGCACCTGAGATCACCCTCAGTTTTAAGTGGGGATCGTGTTGCTTAGTCTTTCGTTTTCTATGTTGTGTCTTGTGTACTATTATTTGTCTGTTTGTCTTTTTTATGAGTTTGACTGTACCTCTGCTCTGGTATCTTTCGCCCCTCTTTTTTAATGATGTGTCTAATGGTAATGTTAATGAATTTCAAAGCATATACAATAAATAAATTTGATGTCTCCATCTAAAGGTCAATCAGATATACTCAAATAAATATAAATTCATTACCTTCAATGTGTATGAAAACACATAAAACATTCGTATTTTTGAATATATTTTTAATGGTACGAGTTTGCAGTGGTACGAGTTCTGATTGGTACGACTTCCCAGTAGTACGAGTTTACAATGGTACGAGTTAACTTGATCCTTTCTTTAGTATTGTTCCTGATTGTAAATATATAAATTTCGGATGTAAAATTATTTTAGTAAAGTTTGGCTGCATGCTAGATGTGTGTGTTCAGTTTGAGGGCAGATGAAAGTGTGGTACCTAGGTAGTTTGAATTTCTAACTGATTCTAATATTTGCTGTGAAAATTATGTAGAAATTAACAGGAAAGAAAGATTGAGGGGGCCTTTTACCATTGCCTGAAACAAGTGCCGGTGTTTACTGCTTGAATATGAAATAAAATTAGATGTGGTATGATTGTCTACATGGTCTATGAGACAACTAAATATGTTGTACAGATTTGCAAACACTCATTTCTGTATAGATCATTAGTACCTGAAGAGGAAAGCTGTGCCGTTTACCGGCTACTACTGACTATTATTCGCAAAACACAACGCTTTTCTAACGATTAACTGGTCACTAGTGGGGAAAGCATTACACTCGTTCAACGAAAAGCTGTGCAAGGAAAAACAGAAAACCAGTGCAATGTTGAATGGGTACGGTAAAATGCGGAGTCACATATAACTAACGACCAAATATGCATTAATATTTCAATAGTACAATAGAACGAACGAACGAACTAATAATAATAATAATAAATTCTTTATTTTCAGAAAGTTACACAGTTTACAAAACAGTTAATCCGCCGCGTGGCCTCCTAATCTACATATAAGAATACACAATTTCTAAAAGATAATAGTACATAAACAAAAGGGTAATAAAGCAAAAACATACTTCACTATATAGTAACTAATTATGTTACTTGTACTGTATATATATATGTAGGACTCAAATCTATGGCGGGTTCCAAATCTATGGCAGATTCCTAATCTATGGCAAATATGACGTTACAAACGCCAAACAAATCAAATCTATGGCAGTTTTTTGTTTTCTCCAAATCTATGGCAGATCTTGTAATTTTCCGGGAAAAAGAGTAATATATAACGCCACAATTAAATAACGCCATATTGCGTCGTCGCCGCCGCTAACGATGGCGGAACCAATAGATTTGAACACCATTTTATATAGATTTTTTTTTATATGTAGAATGTAAATCAAAAACAGATATTTAACACGGGGCTCACATATTTTTACAAACAAATACACAGGGAAACACTTTCCGCTTTCCCTCTAGAACAATTTGCCGATGGTGTGACCTTTTATTCAGAGGAGGGACAATATGTGCTGTATCGTCCGTATCCCGCGATGAAGAAAGGCACCGCTGTTTTAGTAGTGGATATTTTAGGAAAGGAGTTATAGTAAATATGTTGGCGTCTATGGCTGGCAAAGTATATAAAGTGAGAGATGAAATTACAGGATATACCACTTTGACTTAAATCGTCATCAGTTAAAAAAAGATTGATTAACGCTCAAATAAATATAATTTTGAAAAGTCAAACTGTTTAATTCTTTTTATAAAAAACTGCTTTCTTGTTTGTTAAGGGACTTCCATTTTTACTAGTTGGTTTAATGAATGGGCTAAACAGGTACCATGCACAGATTAGAAAATAATTATTTTTATGGGGCACATCATTTCAATCCCGAAGTCTGTATTATGGTATATCACTGCTACACTTAGGACATTTTATGGTTGCCATCACGATTTGGTTGAACATTATGGAATGTTTATTTCACAAATGTTTATAGATATGCTCACGTTGTCGTACATTTCGACTTGTTTAAGACAAGTCATTGATCGTATATTTTCTGCCTTGATCTCCATTTGCACAAAAAATCTGCCATAGATTTGAAAACAACAAAAATCCGCCATAGATTAGGAAATAACAAAAACTTGCCATAGATTAGGATTTTAAAAAATCTGCCATAGATTTGGGATGGCATGACGTCATATTTACCATAGATTCGGAATCTGCCATAGATCTGGAACCCACCATAGATTTGAGTCCTACATATATATGCAACATAGTTAGGTTACGTGAGATAAAATCTTAGAATGACTACTTTCCCAAAACTAGAATTGTTTTAACATTGCCATATAAGCGGGAGGTTTGGCTAGCCATAAAACAATGTTCACTGTGACCCACCATTTTTTCTTGTAAAAAATGTCCTGTACCAAGTCAGGAATATTGCAGTTGTTATCAAATATTCCGTTTCTATGTATGTTGACGTTTGTTTTTGTTGCAGTTCAGTGTTTCTGTTGTTCCGTTGTTTTCCTCTTTTAGTTGATGTGACACGTTTCCCTCGGTTTTAGTTGGTAACCCGGATTTGTGTTCTCTTAATCGATTTATGACTATTGAACAGCGGTATACTACTGTTGCCTTTATTTAGCACTTTAAGTAAAAATAAAAATCATTCAACCATTTTGTTTTCATATTCCAGAATATCATTTTTTTTACTGTAAGACATAAAGCTTTATTTACTCAAGAATTTGCATACAAATCCTTGATTTAGTTGAAATCCCCGGTATAAGCAAGACAATTACAAACATAAGCTCTGTACCGCACCCCCCCCCCCCCCTTTCATATCATTTGCAAAAACGAAGGAAAAAATATAAAGATAAAGTTAAATATTGATTTTATCATTGCTGGAGTCATTAGATAAATACACATGGAATAGAAAGACATTGTTCGGGAATATGACATAGATTTGTATTGGTATAGAAATAGATAATTTTTAGGATCACTGACAGTCTGATCTGTCTAACTTGTGTTGTGCAAAATTTTAGACTACTCATAAATAGTAGTCTCATGCCACATATAAATGAATTTTTCGTCGGAGATAATTGTGCTTATTCTTTTGATATTGCAAAACGTTAAGATTTTTTATGCGAAAAATGGTTAATTTTGAACATGCAGCAGAAGCTGTAATAATTCCAATAACCTGCACGGATGCACTGCCAGTACTTCATAACGTCCATGGTAAAATTGAGAATGGAAGTGGTAATATTCTTCGCAAAAATATTGTAAACATATCAGATAAATTTACTCCGAACGGTCAGGAGATCCTGCTCCACTCATAATGGCACTCGTCGCTCTGCTCAGTCATGTCAGGCAAACAGCATTCGGTGATGTGACCTATCAATACCGTGCAGACATCTATACCAATACAAACTTTTTAAATATTTGAAGAAAATTATGAAGGAATTTGGGATGAAAATTGCAGGAGCTCAGTCTGTTTAAATGCAAACGGATCTTGCGAAACCACCAGACAACAAGATGAAGATATATGCCGAAGAAAAGGATCAGATAAGATCCAACATATTCATTTTGTAAGATACGAACAAAATGAGTAAAAAGCAAAAATATTTTTTTTCAAGTTTTAACTGGCTGAGACCATTTTACGTGTAAAACTAGTGTTACTAACCGATTTCTTTTAATTTCATATTCTCAAACTAAAAGGGTATTTTAAGACAAGATTGCCTTCATCAGCTCGAACATAAGCTCGCCCTAGCGGGCTCGCTTGATATTGTTGCTGATAATGCCAGTATCAAAATAAAAAATATCATGATTCTATTTGTCTCAATCCTCCTAAACCTACACTTCTCAAAAGTAACGAAACACAAGTTTGAACTAAAATTTATCATTAAAAAAAATTAAAAAAGATTAAAAACTTAAATTTTCCAATAAAAAAAATTTTTCAAAGCAAATGTATATGATTCTGAAAATCTGAGCCTAGTCGGAAACTGAGAAAACACCATGTTGTTGAAGAAAGGGATCAACACTATTTTGCGGAAAATGATGACAAACATTAGGACCCTATTTCGAAAATGCGAGTATTATCTGTATGTCTCAAATCTGAAGTTCAAAATTTATATCGGTTTTTGAAATCAATCGGGTGAAATAAATAGGATTTAAAAAATGAAATAAATGCAAATACAAAAAGTCGTTTTTGTCTTAAGGATGTACTCAGGTCAGGTTTATGAATTTTTGTCAGATGTTCCAACTTCTAGGGTTTTTTCCTACGAAACAGGCAAAATATTTTGCCCCATATTACCCACTTTTCTGTTCATAGAAGACTTCAATAGCTCATAAAAAGGTCATTACCAAAATTTAAGCAGATTCTAGATTTTTTTCTTACGATTTGAGACCCAAATAATGCCAATGCTAAATATAAGGTAAAAGTCCAAGTCAGCCTTTTCCCGCCATTTAAAAAAATCAAATATCGCAATATTTTTAGAAATAAGAAGATGTGGTATGATTGCCAATGAGACAGCACTCCATCCAAGTTAGCTTATTTTGTTCCTTTACTAATGCTCTTCTGACTTATAGTATCAATTCTATATTCTAGATTTTTTTAATTTCACCTAACTACATCCTTAAATCAATGGTCTGGGTGACGGATAACCACTCTCTGTTAACCTGAGATTAATTGTGCAATTCTAACCGTTGGTATCGTGTATCCAATTTCATTATACATGGAAATTGTATTCACGCATTTGTCGTTCCTTTTGTTGGTTAGTATATGTTAAACACTGTTAGTACATTTAACAGGAAGAATGCGAGAAACATAGAAAAACTCCAAGATATACACCATTAACACGGACATCGGTATAAAAGAGTTACAATTATCTTTTGGAAAGCATACCTAGGATATTATCTGTTTTTTTATTCGGATTTAAAAAACAACATAGTTTAACTAAGAAATGTACATCGGATACAATCAACAACAAAAACAACAACAAAAACCAGTAATATATTTTATTTTCAAGTTCTGTTCACCAAATGTTACTTACTATAACAGAAAATGTATTTCTTTTTAAAATGTACACTAGCTACGAATGCACCAGCACGTGATAGTCAAAGTTGTAACTGAGACGGAAAAATATCAACCCCATTGCGGCCAATTTCGCAATTTCAACGTCGAAAACGCGAAATTGCTACTCGCGAAGGCGGAACGCGAAATTGCTAAATCGCGAAGGCGGAATGCGAAATTGCGAAATCTCGAAGGCGGAACGTGAAATTGCTAAATCGCGAAGGCGGAACGCGAAATTGCTAAACCGCGAAGGCGGTAACGCAAAAACGCGAAATCGAGAAATTAATTTGAATTCATGTTTTAGCGTTTTTGCTTTCGCGTTTTTTGTTGTTGTTGTTATATCTCATTTGAAAATGGCCGCATCTGGCTTCCATAAAAACAAACTAGCAAAGGAATCTTCTGCCACAACAAATAGTATCATGCAGTACAGTACAGGGATTCATGAGTATGATCTCAGAATCTGCTCTCATCCCCATTTTCTATCCCTAACTATTTTGTTATCAAATGTATATAGTTTTATCTAAATGAAATTTTACAAATGCACATACATTATTTTGATTTTTTGATTTTGTTTCTTTTTATTTTTCTTGCTACAATGTAAATTATAAAATTTTATAGTCGACGCCCGGCGAATAATCTTCAATAATTGAAGGATCGCTAGAAACTTAAAGAAGAAGAAGAAGGTTCCATCACTGAAAAGTAGACGTATGCGAAATTAATATGACTATTGAATGTTTTAAAATTTTATATATGTTTACATGATGATTTAGTTGTACTGAAAGATTGTATATAAAATTTTAGATATTCTAATATTGTAAATATACCAAGGGTTCGAACATCAACCTATGGTAAGAACTCTTTTAAATATACAGCTGCTGTTTTATGGTATGATCTACCTGATGATTTTAGAAAAATTGCTTATTCCAATCAGTTTAAAAATATTTTAAAGCCATGGAATGGAAATGACTGTAAGTGCATAGTTTGTGCAGATTATTATAGGATATATTATGTTAAATTCTAACCATTTAGATCATATCCTATATTTAATATTTTATGCTATGCATTTTGCCAGTTTTCTAATCATGCTTAGTTTACATTTTTATAAGCTTTAAGCTTTAGTACCTTACTTATCATGCTTAAAATCTGCATGCATATTGCCACCATGCTTAATCATATTGCTTCATTTTGTGTTATGTAACTTATTGCAAATCAAATCAAATCAAATAATTTTATTGGTGTAAATTCCAATACAGGAATGATACTTGCTGACATTTACAAAATAAAAAAAATAAAAAAACCAAGCTATTTATACAATGGTCTACAATAAGCGTTATTGCATGCTTATTATTGTACTTTATTGTTATGTCTTGTATGTCGGTTAAAAGATCAATAGAGCTAATGTTATGTCCTTGTTTGTATACTATGCCGACTCTAAATAAAGCTTATTCATTATTTATAATATGCAGATTAACGATTTTGCAGTTTTGTGGTCCTTTCTAGTAGTTTATGGTAAACAGATGTACCCTGTACAATATCCTTATCCGATCTCTTCTGCTTTTATTTGTTTTTAAAACATTTTGCGGATCTCTTTATAATCATAGCCTCTAAATTAAAACGATTTAAAACTTTTTAGAAGGAAAAATAATAAATCTTTTACTTTATTTAATTTTGAATTATTTTTAGCAAAGTATTCGTATTATTGAAAATTATGAGATAAAAGATTTTCAATATTTTGGGTTCGTGTGTGTTTACTAAGAAACAAGATGGCTGATTCATAACAATATCCCGAAATTTAAGATCAAGGTTTTCTGCCAAAGAACAAAGCACCTTGATTTCGAAACATTTATTCAAATTTATGGTGTTCCTTTACTGTAATTATTTATATATCCTAGATGAAAAAAAATTGTGTGCAACTTGCAAGTCTGTGCACCTGTCTGCTTGACATAATTTGTATGTAAACTATGTTATTTTCAATGCATAGACCTGCATACCATGTACTGTGCAACTACGTGTATGCTTTTCCATTAAAACCATCTCCTAATCATTAATTTGTTGAAGGTGGGTCACTATAGGTTAGAAAGTAATCTTGTAACATAATTTTCTTAGCTCACTCAGACACTCTATGCTGTTAACTTGTAAAAGTAACATTCTTAGCTCACTCTATCTCTATGCTGTTAACTTGTAAAAGCCTAAAAGGACGTTAAAATATATTTGCTGTGGAACCATAGCTCTGATTCTGCTTATAATCCGCCAATTGTCAAAAAAATATCACAAGGACCTAAGAGCTACGGTTCCACAGCTACTCTCCACCAAGCTTGAATAAATGTTTTCTGAACTACCAAACCTCAAACATATCAAACCAGTGCCTTTTACACAGATACATGTAGCATAATTTCCTACACTTGAAGCAGTTAAGAATTGTAAAGAAGACATACTTTCCTATCAAAATCTGTTAATTTTTTTTTAAATCTTACCTTTTTCACTATTCATGATAGTTATAGATCCATTTTAAAAACTAAAAAGCAACTACAGGTCACTCTACTGCCTTCAACAATGAGCCAAACCCATTCCATACAGTTAGCTGTAAAAGATCCTGACATGACAATGTCCTAATCAAATCTTGAACACAAATTTGACTAATTTCCATGCCTTCTGCTGTGAATAGGCATTTATAATAATTGTGCATATGTATTGTCATTCTATTTTTCAATTACAGTTAGATGTTTAAGGGAAATTTAATAAGCCTTAAAAGGCCCTGACATGACAAAATCCTAATCGGTTCCTGACCTTGACCCCTTTTCCCCAAATGTGACGTGACTTACCGAATTAGACTTGCATCACTTATCACAGGGTTTCTACTTGCATGAACAACATGATGGGTGCTACATGTGGGGCAGGATCTGCTTACCCTTCCAGAGCACCTGAGATCACCCCCAAATTTTGGTGGGGTTCATGTTGCTCAGTCTTTAGTTTTTTATGTTGTGTTTTGTGTACTGTTGTTTGTCTGTTAGTTTTTTTCTTTTTTAGCAATGGCATTGTCAGTTTATTTTCGACTTATGAGTTTGAATGTCCCTTTGGTATCTTTCCCCTCTCTTTTAATACTCTCATCCTTTCCATAACATTTTCAGTTGGAGGCTGTGTTTGATAAGTTAAGTCAGAAGTTCTGGCAAAAGACAAAAATTCTTTTTTATGTAGAAGATAACAGTGCATCTGTTTGAAATTTCACAACTGGACAAAATGTAGCTACATGTACATGTAGTTTTAAAGACCTTTGAAAATGCCACTGAAAGCTTAGTATTTAATTTCCGTTTAGTTCATGTGGTTTAAGCTCAGTCATAACTTGTCAATTATTTGTTGTCTATTAAAACTCATGCAACCTTACTGTGAACAGCAGTGTTCTAGAGAAGAATCTATGTTGATCTTAAGACTGATAATGAATTTTTCCGTAGTTTGTTTTAAATGAGATGTACTTATGTCAGCATGTAGGATAACTTTTTATATGTTGATGATTAATGGTTTAAAAATAAGGACCGATATTTATACAATGATTTTGTATAAGAAGAAATATCTCAAATAAGCATGATAAGATCTGAAATAAAGACTAAAACTTTATGGCGGAAAAATAAATAATTTTCAATTGTAAATATTTTTTGTCCATAAATTGTATTGATTTCACAACAATTTTTCTTTCTTTTATTCAGATCTGAAACTTCATAAAATACACTCCTGCTCATGTATGTGACAAAATGGAAGAAGCAGGTTCTGAAAATTTAAACCCAGAAGAAATTCGTAAACGTCGTCTGGCTTATTTTCAGTCAATAACAGATAAGGATAAACCAACAGTAGCTAAAGTAGAATCTACTCCTGCACAAGGTCATACACCACAAAATCAAATACAATCTACTCCTGCACAAGGTCATACACCACAAAATCAAGTACAATCTACTACTGCACAAGGTCATACACCACAAAACCAAGTAGAATCTGCAGAGAAAAACATAAACAAGGAACAAGTTCAGATTATCTCACAAAACAGACACAAAGCAGAAAATTGTAGAACTGATGATGGGGATGTTCCAAAGCTACAGCTTAGTCATGAATCTAATGGCCAAGTTGGAGATGGGTATGATGAGACCGTGGAACGGTTGATTCAGCTCACAAAAAAGGAAATGGCAGAGAAATATACCAACAGAAAGGACAGTCCGAAAGGGGATTTAACTCCCAAACAAACAGAAACAATTCATGCAAAAGTTAGTAATTCAGGATGGAGTCCTAGTCAGTTAAGCAGCAGGGAAGAATATAGAAATCCTAGTAAACAAAATAAACCATCTCAAAATTTTAGACATTTCCAACCACAACCTGCAAATGACTTACATGTTGAAGAAATATTTAGTGAAAGGAACAATTCATTTCGTCCAAAATATAATCCAACAATGGGTACTTCTCTTAGGGAATCACATGAAAATGGTGCACATATATTTCAAAAGTCTGTAGATGTAAACCAAGTAGAAGAGCTTGGACTCTCAACTCATCGACCTGAGGATGTTCAGAAAAGTAAAGATTTACATGAAAGGTCTCCAAGAGCTTTAAATGAATCAATGTCAGAGGAGTTGAAGTATGCTCTTGGTGAGAAAAAATACAAAGAATTTTTGGAAAAATCTATGAAAGACATAGATGCTCTATATGGAGATAATATAAAATCTAAAACCAAGGGCGGTAAATTTGAAAAGGGGGGAACAAAAGATATAAATGTACGACGAGATCAATATGATAAAGTAACTAATTCATTAATGGGACTTCAGATAAATGAAACTGTACTTACATCACAAAATGACTCAAGTAAGAGTACAGACAGACTACTTAATCGTCCTAAAAATGAACCGGTCACCATTTACCAGGGTAAGCGAGGATTTGAAAAGGACGAAGGTGTAGGACAAAATATGAGTAGAAGCAAAAGCATTGATGAGTCACAAAGCGTTTCAAGTAAAAATTTTGCATTTTCAGCAGATGAAATTTATAGCCAGGCTTATCAGCCGAACGCGATACAATCTGTACCAGTAACTGTAAGTGGAGGATTTGGCCATGGTCATCCTGTTCAACAACAGCAATTTTCTGGAATGTCAGGAGTTGGACACAGCCATTCAATACCTCATGGGTTTCAGCCACATCCAGGTTTATACCAAAGTCATTCTTATGATGGATCCATGATGCAGAGTCCTCATGGTCATTATCCACAGGAACATTTTATGTCTGAGAGTCCTCCAGGATATTTTGTTCAACATCCATATGGATCCCCAGAATCTTATCCACATGGACATCAGCCAATGAGAACATCAAGAATGATGTCACACTCCCCAAACCAGAAGGGTGATAACCAGATGCCACCTTATTCCATGATGTCACATTATCCACATCCACATTATGATGATAGCCCAGGTCGTCAGATTTCAGCACGTAATATACATTCAATGGATCCACAAGAAATTTATAGATTTCAACACCAACATCCACAGATGTTTCCACATCCACCAGAGGAATATCAATTTGACCCAGAAATGAAGCCTCATCCACCCTCAGTAAAAATGAGTCAGAGTTCTCCTTACTTTCATCCATCAATGAATAGAGTTCAGCATCCACAAGATTCTCCTCCAAGTTCCCGGCCAGGTCCACATGGACCTTCACAAAGTACACGACTTGGTCCACATGGTGATATGTCAGCTTTCCAGGATTATCTCCACATGATGCCAAAGGGTATTCCCTATCCACCCCCACCAAGTGACATTGAACTACAGACCTACTTTCAGTATGTAGGCAGTCAAGGATATCCTATACCATACCAGACAGTCATGCCACCAGACTCACCAAGAGATGATCAAGGTATTAGTTTATTATTCATTGTCAAACATGTTATAAAGAATTTATTCATTGTCAAACATGTTATAAAGAATTTATTCATTGTCAAACACGTTATAAAGAATTTATTCATTGTCAAACATGTTATAAAGAATTTATTCATTGCCAAACATGTTATAAAGAATTTATTCATTGTCAAACATGTTTTAAAGAATTTATTCATTGTCAAACATGTACTAACATATTAAAGAATTTATTCATTGTCAAACATGTTTTAAAGAATTTATTCATTGTCAAACATTAAAGTATATATTCTTAGAGTTTCCCCCTCTTACCCTAAGTATTTATGTAGATTTCTTCACCATTAACTTTCCCCCAACATATCAGTTGTTGTAACAACATAATTGATGAAAACTATATTAATATCGTATCTTTGTTCATTGACAGATTATAAATGGCAAACTTCTGGTAAATTGATATATATTTATACCAGAAAAAGATGGGGGGGGGGGGGGGGGGGGGAATGGATATTTTCAGGCTTGTGATAAGAAAAGGAAAATCTAGACCTACATGTACAGAAAAATACTTTCTGATAATTGTTGAGAAAGCAGGGGACAGGGATCATTTTTTTGCTTGAAAATAAATGTTCAGGGAGTAAATACAATCATATGTATATATGTTGTGTACAAGTTATCATTTTGTACAAATTATAATTTGTACAAAAAAATTGTATTTGGCCAGACAATGCCCTTTTTCGACTTCCTGTGATACAACATTAATAGTTGTACTAGTTGATCCACAAAGCGCAAACCTTCAGACACAATTGCTGAACTTCTTGATAGAATTTATCCTGTTGATCAACAATACTAGCCATTTTAGTGAACACTTTGACTTTTAATTTTGTAAATGACCATTTGAAAGACCAGTTTATCTCTGTATCGATGTAATGCATTGGCTTTATGAGAATAAAGATATAAAGATCAGTGAACAGGAGTTCAATTTATAACCTCAAGGCAATATACACGAATCAATATGACTTGAAAAATTGTATTGAAAAGTTTCCATAGTGTGTATCAATACTTTTTTATCACAAAATCCACGCGATAAATTATTGTACAAGTTATAAGTGAATTTTAGTCAAATTTTGTACAAATTGTAATTTGTACAAGCACTTTTTGTACAAATTACAATTTGTGCAGAGTCAGAATACAAATTATAATTTGTACAATTTTTTTGTACAAATTATAATTTGTACAAAATGATAACTTGTACACAACATATATAAATTTAAAGTTAAAGAATATTGTTAAACAAATGAAGATCAACATGTTTCTTTAACATAGATGCTAAAATCAAGATCAAACCTATTTTGACATAGCCAAAAGTGTATCATGGAACAACAGTAAAACAAAAGCACCTCAGACATTTAGTATTATTGCTTCTGTGAGGTGTGATCTATTTACAGTATTTTCCATGGTTACAATACTGCAAAGATGCAATAAAAATCCTGTTCCCTTGATATTTTGCTATTATCCAGTTTTTCATCTGTCATATCTTTTGTTAATCCTCCCCTTGTTTTCTGGTTATATTGATGAGCCCACAGAGACTTTTTTTAAAAGAAAATACTGTAAATTCAGAAATTATTGCGTGCATTTATTATTGCGATTTTGTCATTTTAGACTTAAATGCGATTTTAATTTTTACGATTTTAAGAATAATCCTGTTCAGTTCAAATAAAATATTTCAAAATGCGAGTTTAAATTATTGCGTTTACTACTCTGTCGCATTTGTCGCAATAATAAAAACCTCGCAATAATTTCTGAATTTACAGTAAGCATAAATTTTATAACATTTCACTCTATGTGTGATGCTTTAACAGTGGTCTGACTTTTTTATGTACATATTTAGAATACAGAATATCTATGTTTAGGCCTGTTGGTAAGTAATTTTGTAAAATACATGTCCTGTTTTCAAGATTAGATAGACTTTAAGTGCTGGTGCCTGTTACACTAAGATTCACAAAACAAAAGAATTCAATTTTCAATTTTGCATGATTTAGTTTAGATTTGAATAAAATCAGTGTGAAATAATATTTGATGCATATTTTATCTTTAAATTTTACCTCAAACATTTTTACAAGATTTGTTTTGAAATTGTCAGACTTTTTTAGAACTAACATATCCGATAATAATTTGTGATATCCGATAATAATTTGTGTCTCGCCTGAGATGAAAGTCGCAGAAGGCGAATTATAGGCGTTGCCTTTCTGGCAGTGGCCTCAACAATTGTTAAGTTTTCTGCTTAAGTCTGTTTTATAGGAACTACTTGTGATCGAAAGATCAATGATATTTTCTATAAAGTTGCATTACTATCAGTACATATCAGTTTGACAATTATTTCGAGGCCCTGCCACATAGGTCATAGTCCAGCAACTTTGAATTAATTAGCAAGTTGCTGACCATCAGATTGTCTTTTTCTGAATTTTCTGCTGACAGGAACAGTTTATTATTTTGTAATTCACCCATCCTCTCATCACTGCCCATTCTGTCATGTCCCCTTTTTTGCTCAATTGATCTTTGACAGCACCAGACTCCAAATATTAAAATAATATATGAAATTAAATCTTTTTTATTAAGCAAACAACATCCAATCATTCAATTTATTTAATGTTCCCCATTTACTTATTCCCCAAAGTTGTCTACCATTTTAAGTTCACTTGTCCAAGATTTGAGTGGCTTTTCTCATCACTTTGTATATGTCATCTGTTTTTCTCTGATGTGTGCAGTCACTAGCTTGACGGACTATCTTTTGTCACTAGCTTGACGGATATCTTTAGCTATATTTCAGGCCTCTTCTCTCCCTTTGTGAGTAGATACAACATACATTTCATTTGTAGTGCTGTGAGGCGAACATTCTAGATCCTATCCATACGCTTGTCAAGCAAAATAATAATACTATATATACTCAGAAATTCAAATAAAAAAAATAAAAGTATGTGTACTACAATACTTGTTGAGAAAACCATTTTACTAAAATTACAAAAGTTGCAGAAAGTAGTGCATGGTGTATGAATATATCTGTTCAAATCAATTCATGATATTGCCTTAATAAACAATGCTAGCTTAATACAATACAATACAATATTTAATTTAAAGTTTACAATGTAAAAAGAAAACAAACTGACCCTACAACACTGACATGTACTTTGATTATACATTAACTTGCTAAAAATTAAATTCTTCTCAACAGCTAATGCATTTTACTTACCAAGTATACACTGTTTACGTAAAAAATAACTGACTGTAAATTTTTTTCTTATTATAATCATTATTATGGTAAACAAAAAAATCCTTTAATTCTATAAAATGATGTTTTAGTGAGAAAAAAAATATGCTTTGAAGTTTATATTGTTTTCTTAATTAAAATTTGTCATTTCTGTAATAAGTTACCACATTATATTAACTAGGTATGATGGTTCCTCATCCTCCTGCAGAGAAAAAGGAGACAAAGCCAGGTTCTAGTCACTTCAGGAGAAGAGATATGGACAGTAGCCGTAATAAATCTGTCCATGAGGGTAGTCGTGATTGGCAGCAGCATGAAGGTAGTCCACAAAAAGATGACATGAAAAAATCCATTGATGATAGATCAGATGAACTAAGTAGTTCACAAAGACATATAGAGGGCATTAGACAATTTCATGAACAAAGGTAAAAAAAGAGAGAAGAAACGAAGGGAGCAATTGAAAGTAGTAAAAAAAATAGACAAAACATTTGCCAAAAATAAAAACAATGAGAAAGACAAAACAATGATAACAAAACATTGCACAGAAAAATAAAATTTCAACAACACAAGTCGTCCTGAATATGCATGAAATATTTGCCACTGGACATTAAGCAACCAACAATCAATCAATCAATCAATCAATCAACAACACAAACCTTACCAAAAGTCAGGGATGAACTCTTGGTGATCCGTAAAGAACAATACATTGGCATTGACAAAGACATATAATGTTTTTAAGCCATAAACAGTTCATTCATATCAACCTTCAAAATTTACTATTGTCAACTAGACAGCAACCCCCCCCCCCCAAAAAAAAAAACCAAAACAAAACAACCTAAAGACATCAAGAGAGCAACATACAGTCCTCAATAGGCATGTGTGTATACATTAAGTTAAGCCCTAAATCATTCTGAGTCTATAAAAGATGTGAATAAATTACTGATAAACAGAAACAGTCGACACATGAAAAAAAATCTGAAATCAACACCAAATCCTGCAAATAACAAAAAATAAAAGACCACTGACAAGGTTCCTGACATGTTTGTGATAAAGTCCATATATAATTTTTTTTTAATCAACACTGCAAACCTGTAAATAGACTTTTTTCTGTTAACAGTTGAACTGACAACTAGTTTTGATTTTCATCAAATGATAAAAAAATGCTGAATTATAAAACTGTACTTGTAGGAGGCAACAGCAAGAAAATGAGATGTTGGAAAAACAAAGAACTTTTGCCAAGGAATCCATTGATAGGTACTTCACTTCACTTGAGCACCATTCTAGTAAACAGCAGGGTCAAGACTTCACTGATAAACCCATGGAAATATTACGGGAAAGTTTGACAGATGTACAGACATTAGTTAATTCTGAAGCTACTGGGGTTACATTAAACGCAGGTGGAATTACTGAAAGGATGGATGAATTAGGAATAGATCTGTCATACTTAAAACAAAAAGATCAGGAAAATTCAGAAAATACATACAAAAATAAGGGAGATAATCCCAAAACTAGGACTGTTATTGTTTGTCCAGAATGTGGAGAAGTAAACAAACCTTACATGACTTGGTGCTCAGAATGTAGTGAAGTACTCATAGGTGTAGAACCAGTCAAAGTCAAACCAAAAAGAAAAGGTGGGCGTGGGAAGAAATCTGGTGAAAACAGTGATAAAAATTATGTTCTTTATAAAAGTGTTACCTTTGATGAACCTAAAAATTCTGAATTAGATCAAAATATAAGTGATAATGAACAGGAAGTGAAAGAAGTAGAACCATCTCATTCAAAATTATCTCCAAGTAAATCAGAGGGCAGAGATAGTGGAAGGCCATCTAGCGACGATTTAGATTTAACTAGAACAGAAAATGAAATTGATGAAATTTGCCAAAGTTTAAGTGATCCAGTAATCAAAGGATTCATAAAAGCTTATTTTAATAAAAAGAGGCAGGAAGTGACAAAGAAAAATGATGATGAAGGAATTATAGATTCAGAGAACAGACATCATTCTGAAGAAAGAAGTACCAAAAGAACTTCAAGTACTGACAAAATTAATAGTGAAGACGAAAAAGTTATGGAAGAAAATCTAAATGAGAGGCATCAATTTCGCCATGTTGCCAATGATGAATTCAGTGAAATCCAGTCGAATAAGGAAGTTAGCAATGGATTTCATAGTAATGATATACATGTAGATCACAGCAAACAAATAGAAAATAATTATTTTCATCCCATTGAAAGTAAGCAAAATCCAGACTGGTCTCATAAAGATCATCATCTACATAATGAAGAGGTTTGGTTACACGAACAAAAGTCTCCTAGATATGATGCCCCAATGGGAAGAAAACACATGCCAATAGATATAGAAGTTTTCACTTTAGAAGAAAGCCGCCAGGGTAAAATAACTCAAAGAGACCCACTTGTTCCTTCATTAAATCTTGCAAACAGTAGTGATGAGGATGAAAATGGTATTAAAATTGAGAAGAAACCATTTGTTCCACTTAGCATGTCAGCAGAGAGTGAAGACTGGAATGAATTTTTCACTAATGGCAATGATTTTGAAATTCCACAAGAAGAACCAATACTTGAAAGTCCTAACACAGCTGATAGTGAATCAAAACCATTTTTGGAACGATTACTTGAACATCAGCCAAAAATGTCAAAAAAACCTCCAAGTTCAAGTTCAAAGACTCGTAAATCAAATCCTAATGTTAAAAGTGTTGTAAAGGAATCTATAGATGCTCCATTTAGGCAAAGAAAATGGGCAAAGTCTAGTACTGCTTGGAATTCATATAACCCTAGGGAGTTGAGCACAAAGCCAAGTGTCAACAAAACTAGACCTATTAGTGCAGGCAATAAAAGACCAACAAGTGGTGGAATACACCCTGCCGCAAATGCTTCAGCATCAAACAGTGGTATTCCTAGAAGATCTGGAAGTATTCCAAACCTATCTTTACAAAGTATTGAAGATGTGACTCCTGGAAGGAAGAAAGTATCAAAATTCAGTCGTCCTGTTATTGCTGATCTGTCTTCAACAAGGTAAGTTATTCCATCTGAGAGTATTTAAGTTAACTCAATGGTCATCCTCAAAGTTTGAATATTGAAGAGATATGAGTATATCAATGAGACAGCAACCTAATAACACAAAAAAACCAAAGACATCAAAAGGTCAACATGCTGTCTTTAACAATAGAAAAGTGTCTTTAAAATATGGACAAGCTCTAAATGAGTCTAAAGAATATTGAATTAATTTAACAGAGACCATCAAAGATTTGCCCAAAAAAAAACAATCTCCAAAGGATATTTTCTAGCTGTAGTGGTCCATGCAATTAATGAAGAGATATTTTTTTAAACATTTTCATCTTTGTAAAAGGGCTTTATTTAAAATTTCTATACACGTCACTCAGTTAATTAAAGCAGTATATATATATATATATATATGTAGTGATATCTTATTACCTCATTCCTATAAATGCCATTCAACAGCACACACAATAATTTTGCTTTGATGAAAATGTATATTAAATCCAACTTCCACTTAAAGATTAACAATTTCCATTATACTTAACCATCTTACAATTCTTTATCAGGTGTGTAATAAAAACCATAATTTACAGGTCAGAGGAATCAAGAGAGGATGTTACTCCAGATCTTCCTGTCAGAAGGACAGAAGTGGCTAGTCAAGATTTTGCAGTCAGGAGAAATGAGGTCCCCACTTCACAGTATGTGATTAAGAAAAAAGAGGCCCCTAGTACTTCATCTAAAGTAGAAACCAAAAACAAAGACAGTCCTAAGTCACTACCATATGTAATAGATCATCGACTACCTGCTGAAGAAATAGAACCAGTGAAAGGTATTTTATTTCAAAACTTATTTTGACAAACAAAAATAGGGCCAACCAATACATTGCATAGATAAATGATGCATTAAGTCTTCACAAAGACCACTGTCATTTATTGTCGTACAGTTTAAGTTTATTATACATCACATGTACAATGGATAATACATTTTTTAGAATATCAAATAAGGAAACAAAAGTGGAACTTGGCAATAAAAATGAATGGACTCCATGAGAAAACCAATTTAAAGAAAGAAAATTCTGTATAAAGTGAAGTCGATACAATATTATAACCATGAGAGCTTCATGAGAAAGGAAAAATTAAGATGAATAGTTTTAGTTAATGTAAATACAGTTGACTATGTCCTACCATGAACATTTACTTTACTTCTGGTTATTTTATTATGTCAAGCAAATTTTGTAGAAACATTCAGTTGTTAATCAATATATATGAGATATTTTTAACAACTATAATATAGAGATAAGGAGATGATGTATGATTGCCAACAAGACAGCTATCCTTCAAAGACCAAAGGACAAGTATGTAAACCACTAAAGTCTGCAGGTCACTGTAAGGCCTTCCAATAATGAGCAAAACTCATACCATATAGCCCTAAGCTATAAGTGTCCCAAAAAATTTGAAATAATTTCAAAGAGAAAGTTATGAAGGGTGCAGTATTGACATATTCTGTAGTTTTTACATTATTATCTGATTTGTTTCAGATATAGGCAAACTTCAGAGTGCTTACTCAATGTACCAGGAAATGGTAAGTGTACAGATCTACATAAATAAATTGTGTTAAATATGTATATCTAATTCATCTCTTAATATTGAACCTCTTTGTCAATTGCATCTTTCTAGAATCAGTTTTAAGTTTCAAGTAGCCTTTCTAGACATATTTGATATTTTTGTAACATATATTATGAAAAGTATAGGAACTTGTATCCTATTTCAGATGAAGAATCACTTCAATAAGTGTATTACTGGAAACTAAACTGGATTTTCTTCAGCATTTGTCAAGAAACAGGATTTTTTTTAAAGATGAAAAAATTAGATGTAATTATGTAAAAAATTAGATGTACGTGTACAAATTAGATTAAAATTGGAATTTATAACTTCAGACACCAAGAATACAACAAGGGAAGTTTTCAGCATGGCTGTGTCTTCCTGATGAGATCATGTTACAGATTTTTTCCTTCTTGTCTCATGCAGATTTAGTAGAAGCAGCTTTGACATGTAAACAATACTACAGAGTAGCTTTAGATGAAACTTTATGTAAGTATTATTTACAGGAGGTCAAATCTACCGAATTACTAGATTCACTTATTACTGATTTTAATTTTTTTTTAAATCCCTTGCTTTTCATTTTTTAGTTTCTTGATTTGTACACGTGTATTTTTTGAAAATAAATATATTTTTATTTGGTATGATTGCCAATGAGACAACTGTTTTTGTGTGTGTAAATAAATCATATCTTATTTTCATACAACAAGAACTAATAAGTTTTTGAGTTGATATAATTGTAAAATGGATAACAAATCCAGCACTTTACATTTTCTTTACAGGCATTCATCATGTTTCCAAACAAACAAAATTAAATATTTTGTAGAACCATAAACAAATTCTGATACATATTTGTTTGCTAATAAATAGTTATAAATTTGATAAAAAGAGTGTAAACTTTTACTTCAGCTGTATACATATTCAAAATTTTATTTTCTCCACTTGTTTGATATAATGAAAATAGGTAAGAAGATAAAAAAATGGGAATTTCTAAATTTTCTCATTAAACTTGTTAAAGATTCAGTTAGTGTATTTATAGTCTCTATGTTGTAAATAATTTATAACTTACTTTTGTATTCTAGGGAGATACATAACAGTTAAGAAAAAACATGATATGGATGACGAAACATTAGCAGATATAGGTCATCGGCATCCTGTCAGTCTGGCATTAATACAATGTCATGGTGATAATATTACAGCCAAAGGTCTTAGAGAATTGTTTAGGGAATGTTGTGAAACTCTAAGGGTAAGATTTTACAGTGAAAACAGTACAAGATTTTAATGATCATAGACAAGGACAATTGATATAAACAAGAATAAAGGTATTTTTCATGGATACATACTGGAAACACTAATGAAAGACCTTTAATGTTAATATAAATGACGAAATATTGTTGTAAAAAAAAAATCTTGCAGAAAAGTCTACTTTTTATCGTCTTTATGCAATAAACAGGAATTCTTGTATTAACCTATGCAATGAAGAGAAATTTTCTGTACGAAGAAGAGATAGGAATGGTTCTGTGTTTTGAAATTTTATGCAAATAACAGGATTATGCAATTAACAGTATAAAATTAAGTGGAGTCCTCTGTAGTATGATTAAAACAAAATATTTGACCTCCCACTTTTTCTTTATAATTGTTTGGATTTTATTTCTTTTCTTTGCATGGACAATAAATGACCCAAGTTAATATTTAGAAAATTACGTTTTCTACATTTACTAATGCTTTAATGGAAAAGACAAGAATTCACCATAACCAATGCCACAATTATAACACAGTATTCCAAACAGCTTGCATAATTTTTTATGTAACTATGACTATGCCATTAACATATCTAATTTGTATTGATTCAAGATTCAACAATATAGTGTAATATATCCTTATACTTCCAGGAATTAAATTTATGTGGCTGCAGTAGAGGTGCTTTAACAGGTGACTGTATTTTATTGCATGCCTCAGCAAGGTGTCATAATTTGACACATGTTGATGCTAGTTGGTGCATGGTAACAGATAGTGGTATTGGTGCTATTTCTAGCTCTTGTAAAAGGTATGCTTTTCCCATTTCTGTTATTAAATTACTTTTATGTTTAATGTATAATGCTTAGGCACCCCTTTGCATATGATAAAAAATCATTCCTGCCCTCTAATTTCTAAACCCCTTGTTATTAGGTGATGAAACTTGTATGATTATTCACCACTTCAAATTTGTGTCATACTTACAATGTAAAAAACATACACTGAAAGTCATGGTTAAAAACTTATTTCAACTTGGTCACCTCTGTGCATATGTATGAAAATAGTTTCCGCCCTCTTACTTGAAATCCTCTTGAAGTTTGGGGATGATAATTGTCAGTATCATTTACCACTACTAGAAATTGTCCCGTAAATGGGAAAAACTACATTGATGATCATGGTAAAAACTACATTGATGATCATGGTAAAAACTACATTGATGATCATGGTAAAAACTACATTGATGATCATGGTAAAAAAGTTAGTTGTACTTTGACATCCCCATGCATATACTTGTACTGAAAGGTACATTAAAGGTCATGGTGAAAAAATGTCTCAAATTGTTTCCACTTTCTACAGGTAGATATTTCAATGTTGATTTACTTTTATATAATAATTTAATGTGAAATTGGATTTCACTAATATTAGTAGAGCAACATTAAAATTTCTGCCTTTCATTAGTAAAAGCTGTATTTAAATGGAATAATCCTGATCACTTCTGAAATTGCATCACAATTTACTTACTAACATGCACCTGGGCCCTCTGTGACAGCTCCCATCACTCTCCTGTAGTTTGTTTATAGTTTTCATTGCACTTTATGTTTCAGACTTGAAAGTTTATGCATAAATGGTTGTCAAAACATAACTGATGAAGGCTTAGAAACAGTACTCAAGAAACATGGTTCAAGGTAATGTCAGTTTATATTTTTCGTATGAGTTGAAATTAAAGCAAGATTGCAAGTTTTTTTTAATGATGCTAGCAAGCAGAAAAACCTATTAAATTCTCCCCTCCAAAAAATCACAGGTAAAAAAAACCAACAAAAAAACAACTTGATAATGCACATCAAAGCATGTGTTTTCTTTGTTTAATTGGAATTTCATGTCTTTAAATGATTTTAGTCTGCCCTGACACTTAGTAGATAAATATAAAAAGAAGCTAGAGTGGGTGACGCATATTCGCCGCAAAATTTGTTCATTTCCACCTACATCCGACCTACATTCGAATATTTGAAACTTTATGTAGGTTTCAGAAAGTTTACTATATGGAAAAAATGTTTGATAAAGGAATTCTCTTCAAAACATTGGTTAAATGTTTTAAAAATGAACGCAAACGCAAGAGGAAATCAAGTTGTTCTTGTACCATGGGGGACACATTTTCGCCGCAATGTATGATATGTAAATTCCTCATTATCCTTGTATATTATAAAAACAATTGTTTGCATATTACATGAATTACCTTGAGAGATCATTCCTTTACGATTTTTCTAACAAATAATTACTTTATGACTGCGCATGCGTGCCATATAAATCTTACATAATTGCCAAAATCGTTCAAAAACACCTGCTTATTTCTTTATATGTGCGAATAACATTAGAAATGGGGTAAAAAGGAATATCAACAGTTCAAACATTACAAACAGTGTTTAGCATCTATTTAGACAAGTATTGGGTAAAGGAACAAGAAATTTACAGAAAAATTGCAAAAACACCGAAAATGTGCCCACGGCGAATATGCGCCACCCACTCTATGTGCAGAGTTCTTTAACTTAAAAATCATTGTATACCTTAGTAAGTAGTTTTTTGCAGATTTACTTGGTTATATTTAGTATAAGTATAAGATATATCTGAAGTTTGTTCTTTTACAGTTTACGAGTATTGGAAATGTTTGGATGTTTCAAGATTACACCAAAAGGAATTAGATACTTAGCAACACATTGTATAAACCTTCTGACATTGAATCTTGGCCAGTGTTACAAGGTATAAGTTCTTTTCATTTTTGTCATGGTATATAGCCATTACAGAGTTCTCTTGAATAACTACATTGGAATACTTATATTATCAACTTGAATACATATGTCATAATTTTATGCCAGAAGTTGTTTTCAGCTGGCATCCTTTTACTAAATGTTAGGTTCTTATGACATCGTATATTTATATATAGATACTGTAAGGGATGGTGACACTTTAATAAAATGAATTATCTTATCTGTATTAAAATAAAATACTTTATTGCTTTTTCAAATTTTCATATTGTTTATTTACAGTTAAAAGATTCATGCATTTCACAGCTATCAACCAGTCTTGGAAGAATTGAGTGTTTAGATCTGAGAGGGGTTAAACATGTAAGTTAATGGCCTCAATTGAAATTAGATCATTAATTCTCAAAAATATAGAATGTGTAGATCTGAGAGGGGTTAAACATGTAAGCACATTGTCAGGTTTCAAATCAGATCAATTAGTCATATTAGAAAAAAATGTCTAAATCTTAGAAAAATAAAGAATGACAGAAATTAAGTATAGATCATTCAGACTCAGAAATGTTTTATAATTGATAAATTTATTCTCTGATTTGTTGGTATATTTTCAGATAAAGGACAACTGTATTAGATATGTTGTGAAAAATTGTCCAAGATTGAAGACCATAGTTATGGCCAACTGTCCGAATATTAGTGATGTAGCTTTACTAGAGATCTCAACATATCTTAATGATATCAGGTAAGTAGAAACAGAATTATCACAAGTAATGATTTGAATACCAATAGTTAAAAGGTCATTCACAACGCCATTCCTAGCAACAACATCTAGAAGAAAGTGCAAAATCTGTTTCCAATGAAGTCAAAATAATTTTACCAAATGTAAAAAGGATAACAAGAATTACCAAAACTATTGGACGTTATAACAAGACAACACATACCAACAACACCTGACTGATCTGAAAAAATAGATACCAAAACTATTGGACGTTATAACAGACAACACATACCTCCAACACCTGACTGATCTAAAAAAATGATACCAAAACTATTGGACGTTATAACAGACAACACATACCACCAACACCTGACTGATCTAAAAAAATAGATACCAAAACTATTGGACATTATAACAGACAACACGTACCACCAACACCTGACTGATCTAAAAAAATAGATACCAAAACTATTGGACATTATAACAGACAACACATACCTCCAACACCTGACTGATCTAAAAAAATAGATACCAAAACTATTGGACATTATAACAGACAACACATACCTCCAACACCTGACTGATCTAAAAAAATAGATACCAAAACTATTGGACGTTATAACAGACAACACATACCACCAACACCTGACTGATCTAAAAAAATAGATACCAAAACTATTGGACGTTATAACAAGACAGCACATACCACCAACACCTGACTGATCTAAAAAAATAGATACCAAAACTATTGGACGTTATAACAGACAACACATACCACCAACACCTGACTGATCTAAACAAAATAGATACCAAAACTATTGGACGTTATAACAAGACAACACATACCACCAACACCTGACTGATCTAAAAAAATAGATGTAAACACAAACAAAAACTAATAGCACATGGTACAGATAGCCTTGGTACAGGCAAAACATGTGATGAATTTAAACCAGTGCATGCACATATGTTTATTTTCTGACGAAATAGCAAGTCTTTTTTTCGCAGTCTGAGTCAATATCTATATGTAAAAGTGAATCTTTTCCGACAGTGTATTCTTTTCTTTTCAAATGCAATAAAGGCACGTAGTATGAAGAAAAGAATTCACTAGTACATTTCATGTAACTAACATTCTACACACCAGACTGATAGTACGCTTACACGTATACCACTAATATGTTCTTAATATGAAAAAAAGAACATTTATAAAAAAAAAAGTAAGGAGATGCGGTATTATTGCCAATGAGACAACTATCCACCAAACTTCAATTGAAGTGGCTGGAAGCAATTATAGGCAACCATACTTGTATTAAATATCCAGGAAGAATTTGATGTAACATGTATTCATATTCATATGATATGTTTTGAAATGGGTTATGACATTTGATTTACTGATAACAAATCTCAAGGATGGTTGCTACTCTGTTTCAAAATAACAAGATTTTTATACGACCGCAAAAATTACAAATTTTTTGGTCGTATATTGGTATCATGTTGTCGTCGTCGTCTGGTGTCGTCGTCTGGCCTCGTCGTCAGCGTTGTCCGAAAACAGATGGTTTACGGATAATAACTTTAGTATAAGTAAATAGAAATCAATAAAATTTTAACACAAGATTTATAACCACTAAAGGAAAGTTAGGATTGATTTTGGGGGTTATGGTCCCAACTGTTTAGGAATTAGGGGCCAAAAAGGGGCCCAAATGAGCATTTTAGTAGTTTCCAGACAATAACTTGTGTTAAAAGTGTATGAATCTCTCTGAAATTATACCACAAGTTTCCATACTATAAAGGGATGGTTAGGATTGACTTTGGGGGGTTATGGCTCAAACCTATTATTAATATGGCAAAAAAAGGGGAAAAACAAGGGTTTTTCTGGTTAAAGGACAATTGAGACAATTTAAAAGCAGTGTAAGGGAGGTAATCCAAATCAAATAAAAGAACACTGTTTGATTACCTCCCTTACACTGCTTGTAAATTATGTATTAAGAAATGATGATTGTCTTGAGGTGATTAGCTGTCAATTTATTTTTAGCAGTTACTGTTAATTGATATTAATCTTAGCCATGACTATGTATGTCATTTTATATTTTAAAACTTTTATGATGTATTTAAATGGGTATTTATGGTTGCAAACTCCATTAGAAATTTGAATTGAGATACTGACCATATCTTGAGGGAAATATTTTTTTTTGGGGAATAAGGGAAAGGAGGGAGGTGAAAAAAATTGGAGGGGGGGGACAATTTTTCTCATTTCAGATTTCAGAAATTAAAAGAAAATTTCTTCAAATATTTTTCTTTGGGGGTTAATATTCAACAGCATAGTGTATTGCACAAAAGTAAAAAATTGAATATAAATTCAAATCATATAACCAATTTGAAGTTCTTTGACTACAGTTATTCTGTGTCCGAAACCTATTATGTGTCAGAAATTTAGTTACAATCCAAATTCAGACCTGTATCAAGCGTGAATATTGTGTCCATTTTGGCCCCAACTTTTCAGGGTTGGACATCTGCGGTCGTATCCAGCTGCGCTCAGCAAAGCAATTTATTATAAGACTGTTATAAATTGATAGCACATAAATAAAGGAATAAAAAAAGCTAAAAATATTCAGGGTCCGTGTGCTTGTTTTCCAGATATCAGCTATTGAAAATTTGGCGGTAAATGCTTCTCTCTAGATTTTTCATACATTTAACATTGGCACCTTTTTTCTTTCAAAAACTATGAAAAAATAACAAGGATTTCATAAGATTTTAAAACATGGCTTTTTAAACTATATGTAATAAAATTATGAAAAGAAAAGAAGGGGTTAGCGGGCAAAATTTTTAATGGCACTACATGGATAGAGGATTCCGAATATCTGGCAAAAATTCTGAAACAAGAGGAGCGAACATCCTTAAATGATATACAATGGCAATGTTCCATATGCATTCAAAGACTTTATTGTGTAAAGTTTACTATATAGATATTGTGTAGCTACACAGAAAATGTAAAAAAAACCCACATATATGCTATATCTGTCCATGTAAACATATAAATAAGAAATGAAGTTGAACACACTGTATTTTCCTCCTTTATACAATTATATTCGTTTAAAAATGAATTACATTGATGTAATGAATTATACAATTTTACACAGGGTAATAGATGTTTGTGGCTGTAGGAATATTACAGATAGCAGTATTCGAGCTCTGTCCAACAACTGTCAGAACCTTCGGAACATTGATATCAGTTCCACAGGATGTACACAGCGTAGGTAAGTTGAAATGGCCATTACTGTGGATTCCTTATTATTTATGGGTTACCAAATTTCATGGGTATATGTGAATCTCAAATTTAATTATTCAACGAAGTACCTATATCCATATAAAGCTTATAGACTTTTGCAAAAACCATGAAATCAAGTATCTACAAAAAATACACAAAAATTGATATCCACTTAAATAAATTATTCTACAGATATCTTTTAATTAGTTTGTGTAAAGTGTAAGGAACTTTACATCAGTTTATGTAATAGTTGTTTTCTATCATGTTAGGTTCCTGAAGGCTATTATAGTACAAATCTGCATAGTATAGTCATTAATAATCATAATGTGACTGTGAAGGGCTCATTTTCAACACTATTTTCTTTTACAATATCATTTTGAGTTTTGTTTTCTTATAGCTCTCCTACGTTTAGTAATGAAAGTTTGGCTTGATTATGGAAGAATCTGTGTAATTCCAAAATTAGCTGTTGTCAGTATGGACAACAAGTTTGATTTTCTAATGTCTTTGAAAGTATTTCCATTAATAATTACTAATAATGTTCAGCAACCTATACTATCGATCATCCCAAAAGACAGTCTTTTCAAATTCTGATTTATATATTGTGATGTAGATTTTGGATATATGTGCATAGCAACAGTCTGAATGTAGGTCATGGTAATTAGACTGTTTTTTAAAAATCATTTAGGCCTATCTCAAATGAAGTACAAGTCTGGCTTATAGTATTATGAATTATGGCAAGGTGGCATGGGTTGGGAAATGAGAGTATCTGTTTTATGTAATCAACTGAGAGCCTTCAAAATTTATAGAATTTTTACATATTCACAAATAAAATGCACCCCTCATTTTGCATAGATTTGGATAATTTTTGGAGATCTTCATGAAAGTAGAACTAAGTCAATGTTCAGCAATAGTCTCAATGTAGGGTACCAAATCAGTTTATCGTCATGGCTAACTAGCATTCAAGAAGTTGCTTTGTCATTGCCATTTATTGTTCTCTCAAATTACATACTATAAGTATTGCAACCCAGAAATTTGAGACCTATTTTTTACCTTAATGTTACACAAAAATAGAGGATTTTGAGACCTAAGTTATATTGTATTTTTGTTTACTAGTCTTTATATGACTGTTTATTGTTGTATATTAAACATCATTTCAGTGTTTCTATGTTAGCCAATTTCTGTAACCAGAGACTAGAGGAAGCCAAGCTGAACTTTCTAGCTGATGTAACTGATGCTGTAGTTATCAAACTTGTTAAACACTGTAAAAAGTAAGATAAATTTATATTAAGGCTAATCTTTTTAGGTTCCTTTTTGTCATAAGCTTACTTATTCAGGTAAATACATCCCTGGCTCTCTGAGTGAGTTTTTGATCTTAGTTTGTAAGTAAATTGCCTAGTTTGCACATCAATAACCTCTAGAATAAATGTGTTTAATCCTATGATTATTCTTTTACCACTAATTTTAACAGATATGGGAATATAGTATTAACTTCTTGAAATCTGTGAAATGGAAGAGAATGTATGCAACATTTCTTGATAACCATGGGGTATATTATTAGTAACATAGTGTGCTAGTCACCTAATACGATATATATGGAATTTACTGACCCCATATATATCGTATTAGGTCACTAGTACACATGTAACGAATTACATATGTATACTGTAAACCAACTAATTTTCACCAGTACTGTATTTCGCGTTTAGTCCTTTCTAGTCCACTTCACAGTGATTTAATTTCACCATTTTCTGATTTACTTGATGAAGTTAAATAAGGAAAGATCTAAGTTTACATATTCGCGTTTTTTTTTCCACTCGCGAAAGTCACTAAAATAAATCGCTCATGAATTTAATGGTTTACAGTACTCCATATGGGGCGAGAGAGAGAAAAGCATTTCTGCTAGGAAGATCTTCAATTTATAGGACATTCTTCTGTTTTAGTAGGCACTACAGCTCAAGCCAAATTTGTACTTGGTACTGCAATTGATATTGGGTTATGACAGGTTATTTGTTAATGATTTTAATGTTGTGTTTTTTTATTCAGGTTAAAACTTTTGCATCTTTATGGATGTACTAGCATAAAAGACATAAAGAAAATACAGGAACTAAACCAAGACTTGAAAGTTGAAATGTAAGCTGAAAACAGGTTGATGCTACAATAGACTGTATCAGTACATGATACTCCCTAATAACACGAAGTCATACAAAACCTTACCCATTCTGAGTAGCATTGGAACCAGGGTGTATTTGCACAGAAATTATTGAAATTTCTAAGGATTCAAGAAATTAAATATGAATGTGTATTTTGATGTATTGTTCATCTTAAAAAACAAAATGGTGTTCATCAGAAAATGATGTGTGTTGTAATTAAACAGAGTACTTTTAGTGTTAACCATTGTATTGATTGAATATAAGTCAACAAAATCAGAAAAAAAATGTCATATTAACATTGTTTAGAAAAATATTTATTAAAAAAATTATGTACCATTTTAGCCTTGTATGGCCTAACATCATTTTTTTTTACAAAAAAAATATTTATTTTCAATTTTCATTGCAATATATACTTCTTTCTTCAAATAACTTTTATCAAAATCCTATTCTCAATAGTTAGGTAAGCCATCTTTGTCTTGTTTTGAAAATATATGTGGCGTTCAATTAAATTTACAGAAAAGATTTGATAAGAAATGGAAGTCTGTAGTTTTACACTTTTAAAGTTTCTTGTAGAAAAATGAAAACTAGATGTAGAAATAGTTGTAAATACATAATTTATGGAACACTTGTGCAATAGATATGTAATAGTTTGCCGAAAACATAAATTAAGGCATTTTCTATATAATCAGTATTGGCTCCACATGTATGCAAATTCATATGAAATAAGATTAGTATTATTTTTATACCTGTCATTATTTGAACATTTGTAAATTATTTGTTAATTTATTAATGACCAGATCATTTGCTCAATTTGTAAGAATGTCACACATATCATAGTTATTTATATGTTAGAATGAATTGCCTTTGAGCTTCTATTGAGGTCTGTACACTTTATACTTTTGCTTTTTGTATGTGTTTATATTCTTTTTGTCAGTTTTTTTACACTTTAATATAAGTATATTTCTATTCAAGTTAGTGTGATATGTCATGATGCAATTTTTCTTATAAATTTTGACTGTTTCTCTTTTTCTTATCAATTTTGATAATTTCTCTTTTTTATGCCACTGCGACAAAATGATGGGGTGCATATTTTTTTACCCCTGTCCTTCCATTAGTCCATTCATCTCACATACGGTATATCTTTTGTCTGGCTAACTCCTCCTACAGTTTTCAAACAAACACTTTTATATTATGTAGGGTGTCAGCATATACACTAAAGGTGTGCATATTATCAGGATTTTGATTTTCTTTAAATTTATTAATCTCTCAAAAAGAGAGGTGAAAAATACCAAAGGCACATTCAAACTCATAGGTAGAAAATAAACTGACAAGTCCTTCAACATCACTGTTACTAAAACCAGCGGGGGCATCATCTTTGTCTAGTTCTTATGAATTTTGGCAATTCTCTTTTTCTTTTCAAAATTGACAGTTTCTCAATTTCTTATCAATTTTAAAAGTTTCTCCTACACAATGATGCAAAATTCAAGTATTAATTCAAGAATGAAGTCAGACATGAATTGTTTCATAAGAAAAATTTTTGTTTTGGAACTATTTAAAACTAGAATTATGTAAGATATCAAATTAAATCTTTCCCTTTTTTAGCTCACCTGGCCCAAAGGGCCAGGTGAGCTTTTCTCATCACTTGGTGTCCGTGGTCTGTTAACTTTTACAAAAATCTTCTCCTCTGGAACTACTGGACCAAATGTAACCAAACGTTTAACAAAACGTGGCCACAATCATCATTGGGGTATTTAGTTTAAAAAATGTGTCCGATGACCCGCACGCCAACCAAGATGGCCGACCTGGCTAAAAATAGAATAGGGGTAAAATGCAAGTTTTGTCTATTATTTTGAAAATTGTTATTAATAGAGAAAATCTGACTAGGGCAAAAATGTTCAGAATGTTGAGGTCTACCAATTGTTCATTGACGTCAAACTGTCAGGCGACTTTTATAGGAGTTATTGCCCTTTAAGTGACAAATTTTATCATTTTTGCCTTTTATCTTGAAATTAACCTGAATTGCTAGTACAATACATTGTGGTATATATCTGTCATTGAAATTCAGTTAAGACATTCATCGTCTATCGTATTTGTGTTAAAGGATTAAAATAATTGCACTTACACTGGTTGAGGTCAATACGTATGCATGGTCGAAAACGTCAGTCCACTTCTTATTAAAGTTCTTACCCTTTGATGACGATTTTTACCAATTTTTTGCGTTTTTGCCTTATATCTTAAAAAATATAATAGATAGATAGAAACTTAAATAAGCAAAAATGATCTGCAAGACAAGGTCTATATTTCAGACAATATGAAGGAAATTTTCTGACAACTCCTTATTGGATTTATTGCCCATTAATGACAATTTTACCAATTTTTTGCTTTTTGCCTTATTTGATAAAAATGAACAAAAATGATCAGCAAGGCAAGATCCACAAACAAGTCAAATTTTTCCAATATAGTTAGTAGACTGTAACTCTTCATAGGAGTAATTGCCCTTAAATGAGGATTTTTTTTTACCCTCTTATCTGTTTTGAGCAAAAACTAAAGAAGATATAGAGAAACTAAACAGACAAAATGATCAGCAATACAAGATCAACAAAAAAGAAATTTTTGTCATGAATTCTATTCTTGTCAACAATGTTGCAGAGTCCATTGTTGATTATGCACATATACCTAGGTGAGTGACACAGGCTCTTTAGAGCTTCTAGTTTATGTTTATCATACAAAAGATTTTTCACTGTAAAATTGCAGTTGTGTGATTGTATATATAGATCAGTGATAAATAGGTTTTTGATTTTTTTTGGTTAGATATTTCTTATGGAACTGCTTATAGAGATTGTAAATCTTTTCTATCTTTGTCTTATAAATTCCCAAGTCAAACTGCCAAAGTCTAATGTGAATTGTTTTCCTTGATTTTCTGTGATTGTTGAACCTATTTATTTGTAAATATATTGTTAAGTTTTGGAAATGTTTAAATTATGTACACTGTAATAACAAATTGTATGTCTTTTTTTTCAATTGTAATTACAATGTAAAAAGAAACATACAGAAAAAGGAGCAGATGCATGAAATTTCTAAAATGATTAAAAGTTTAGAATAGGTTTCAAAACTGTACATCCTACTGAGATAGGCAATAAGTAGAGGTCTATTTAGGAAATGTAAATTTCAAAAATGTTCTTTAAGACAAATTTTAGAATTTTATGATATGAGCAGCGTTAAAAAAGGAATTTTTAGAGGAATTTAAAACAACAGAATGAGCTGCCGCATTCATAGTCTACTTCATCAATCTTTTAGTTTGCAAGTTTTGTCTTGTTGTTAAAATAAAACCAAATTCCAAATTGAAAAATTGTCTCAATTTAAATCTTGTTGAAATGCATAAATTTCTTTAAAATTAGAAAATAGTTAGAATAGAACATTGATAAGATCCTGAATATAGATTTAAAATCAATACTTTTAAAAACAACATTTTGTCACTATAATGGCTTTATTAGACTTGCATCCATTTACAAAACTTGACACCTTTACAAGTATTAAACCTGCTTTTTATAAATATATACATGTCCTTAAAAATACCTCTAAATCTAACATTACTCAGAATCAATGCAAGAATTTATCAGATTAAATTGAGAAATCATATGCACTAAAATTGTATATATTTAAAATTATAATATAAATTTTATGGAATTTAGTTTTTATTTTGGATAATGTATATGCCAATAATGATGTTTGTTTTGATAATATATGAAAAGAGATTATTGCTTGAATGCAGGATTTTTTACATCGTTAACAACACGTAAATAAATAAAGAAAGTCAATTTATCGAAACATATGTGTTGATTTTAACATTCAAATACAAATGTACTGCAAATATTTCAAGTGTATATTTTTTCAATTAGGCAATATGGAACTAAGGGTAATAGGACATTTTGAGCCAAAATAATTTTCTTATTGCTTATGGTATATACAATTTAGAATCCACAATTGTGAGATCATTTTTATGCCTGCTGTCAGATATTTTGTAAATAAACAGGGACAAAAATTGTGCAACAGTCTTTCAAATAGTTAAAAATAAAAATATATACAGCTGTTTTAAGAACATTAAAAATTACCAAAAATTGTATTAGAGTAAAAATACATATTGTGTATGCATGCTGAAAATCATGTATGATTTTACCATTGATCTATCTTGTATCATGAATTAAACAGAAACAGAGCATAGTTTATCTATAAATTGATTCCTTAGTATGCTGTTGATGTATTGCACTCTATTGTAACTCATATTGCAATATTTAGTTTATTTAGTCATTTCGTGAGTGCTTTTATTTTTATTAACCTGATCTGAACTTTTGTAAACCTCTACAAGAAAGTGTTCAATAAATATCAGAAAAGTACCTCTTGTCTTTGTTTTTGTCACTTTTTAGCTCACCGGGGCCCAAAGGGCCCCATGTGAGCTTATGCCATCACTTGGCGTCCGTCGTCGTCCATCGTCTGTCGTCGTAAACTATTTAAAAAAACTTCTCCTCTGAAACTACGGTGCCAAATACCTTCAAACTTCATCTTAATGTTCCTTAGGATATCTAGTTTATAAATTGTATCCGAAGTTTTAATCCATCGACAAACATGGCCGCCATGGCTAAAAATAGAACATAGGGGTCAAATGCAGTTTTTTGCTTCTATCTCAAAAACTAAAGCTTTTAGAGCAAATCTGACATGGGGTAAAAATTGTTCAATTGGTCAAGATCTATCAGCCCTGAAATTTTCAGACGAATTGAACAACTCATTGTTGGGTTGCTGCCACTAAATTGGTAGTTTTAAGGAAATTTTGCAGTTTTTTGTTATTATCTTGAATATTATTAAAGATAGATATAAACTGTAAACAGCAATAATGTTCAGCAAAGTAAGATCTACAAAAAAGTTTAATATGACCAAAATTGTCAATTGACCCCTTAAGGAGTTATTGCCCTTTAAAGACAATTTTACACAATTTGTTCATCAAGTTTGCTAACATTTAAAAATCTTCTCCTCTGAAACTACTGGGCCAAATACCTTCGAACTTCATCTAAATGTTCCTTAGGATATCTAGTTTATAAATTGTATCCGAAGTTTTAATCCATCGACAAACATGGCCGCCATGGCTAAAAATAGAACATAGGGGTCAAATGCAGTTTTTGGCTTATATCTCCAAAACTAAAGCTTTTAGAGCAAATCTGACATGGGTAAAATTGTTCAATTGGTCAACATCTATCAGCCCTAAAATTTTCAGACAAATCGAACAACCCATTGTTGGGTTGCTGCCACTAAATTGGTAGTTTTGAGGAAATTTTGCAGTTTTTTGTTATTTTCTCGAATAATATTATAGATAGATATAAACTGTAAACAGCAATAATGTTCAGTAAAGAAAGATCTACAGAAAAGTTAAATGACCAAATTTGTCAATTGACCCCTTAAGGAGTTATTGCCCTTTAAAGACAATTTTACGCAATGTGTTTATCATGTTTGCTAACATTTAAAAATCTTCTCTTCTGAAACTGTTGTGCCTAATACTTCTTTACTTTGAATAAATGTTCCTTTAGGAATCTAGTTTATGAATTGTATCCGAAATTTTGATCCATCAACAAACATGGCCGCCATGGCTAAAAATAGAACATAGGGTGAAATGCAGTTTTTGGCTTATATCTCAGAAACTAAAGCATTTACAGCAAATCTGACATGGGGTAAAAATGTTCAAAAGGTCAAGATCTATCAGCCCTGAAATTTTCAGATACACCGAACAACCATTTGTTGGGTTGCTGCCACTAAATTGGTTGTTTTAAGGAAATTTTGCAGTTTTTGGTTATTATCTTGAATATTATTGAAGATAAAGATAAACTGTAAACAGCAAAAATGTTCAGCAAAGTAAGATCTACAAAAAAGTTTATATGACCAAAATTGTCAATTGACCCCTTAAGGAGTTATTGCCCTTTAAGGACAATTTTACACAAGTTGTTTGATGTTTTTTAACTTTAAAAATCTTCTCAAATGGATCTAGTATAAATTTTGTATTTCATTTCCTTGTACGTCAAGAAACATAGACACTATGGCTAAAATGGAACATATGGGTAAAAAGCAAAAATAATCATTGATGAAAGATTTAAGCAAAAAAAATAACAGGTGAGCGATTCAGGCTCTTGAGAGCCTCTTGTTAAATACATAACAATATGGACAAAACATATCAAATAAAACTAGACAAAAAGATAAAATGCTACATGTGTTTCACTTATATAATATAATATGGAAACATTTGATAAAAAGAGTTGATTGACGAAGATAATGGTATGTCAACTATGCTCATGTGTTTTGTTTAAAATCATTTATTTAAAAAACCTCCATTTTAGTTGTGTGAAAATATTGCAGATCATTTGTTTTGGTGTAAATTAATCATCTGCAGTCTTGAGTTTACACTTTTGAAAGTCTAAACTGAAAGATAACAACCCCTACTGAAAACAAATTTACACAAGGCTCTATGAAAAAAACTTGATCAGTGTTTTTGAAAATTGACGAAAAACAGTTTCATAGATAGAATCTTCATGCAACAGATGACAGCTCTTTATTACTGATTTTGGTCCAGATCTGAAGTATAGGAAAAGAACTTTTGTCAGATATAATTTAACATTAGACTTGTATATAATTTTTGGAAACCTAATTCTAAGTGTCAGGCCACTAAATACTAATTTCACTTTGTATACCCCCACTCTTGGTGGGGACTAAATAGCATTCAACATGTCCATCCATATGTTGAACAAATATTTTTGTCACACTATTCTCTGGTATTGCTCAACAGAATGACTCCATATTTGGTCAGCAGCTTGACTATGATGAGTTGAAAATTATGTGTAAGCACCTTTTGTCTCACCTGTGACTTTCGTTGAGGAGAGCGAGACATAGGGATTGCTATTCCAGGGATGGCGACGATGACGGTGTCAACAATTGTTAAGTTTTCTGATTAAGTTTGTTTGATAGGAAGTACTTGTGAAAGATTATTGATATTTAATACAAAGTTGCATTACTATCAGTACATATCAGTTTGACAATTATTTTGAGGCCCTGCACCCTAGGTCAAGGTTCAGCGACTTTGAATTAATTAGCAATTTTCAATGTTAATTTTTCTGCTTAAGTAAGATTGATAGGAACTACTTACAACAGACAACAATATTATCTATAAAGTTACATTTCTGTCTGTACATCTCAGTTTGTCGATCAATTCTAGGCCCTTCCCACAAGATCATGGTCCAGTTACTTTGAAACAATAAGCAAAGTTGCTGTCCATCAGAATGTCTTTTTCTGAATTTCATGCTGACAGGCTAGACATATCTCTGTGTCAACAGTTTATTGAATGTTAGACACCTACTTACTGTTTGTTGATACTTTGAATTTTTCTATGTTTTAATCACAAAGGACAGGATGCGATAAGGGTCTTGTTCAGCCTAATTGTTTACTGAAATTTGCACTTTGAATTTAAGATTTCCATTCAATATGTCCATTTCAAAGATAAGGTAATACACAATGAAAAAAAATGCAGATATTTTGGTCAATTTTCAGGTATTTCTTTTGGATCCGCAAATATAGTGCACATGGAAGTATCAACTGCAGATACCAACAACACCTATTATGTTAATATTCATTTGGTACTTGTGTATGTTCAAAATTTTAATATACAATCTGGTAACAATACAGATCCTGTGTCCAAGCTGTGACAAAGATCTGAAAGCACTCCATGCTACTTTCTGTTTTAAAGGCCTTTCAGGATGGTCAGGTTTTATCAGATTAATACACACCTTTAAATTTTGAAGGCTGAAATTTCATTGGCTGATGTAATAATTACCAGAACAGAAAGTAAATTGGAGTGTTGTCAGATCCTTGTAAGGCAAAGCTTGGATACAGGATCTGTATTTTAATCAGATTGACAAATATATGTCAAAATGTGAAATCTTGGTCAATTTTGTAAATAAATAAGTTTTAGTTATCTTTCGATACAAAGTCTTTAATGTTAAAACTTTGGGCATACATATCAACTGACTTTACACAAAATTTACCTAATTTTATACTACTTCAATTTTTAGGCCAAAATTGCCCTTTAGACACCTATATACTCCAGTACTACCAAACAGAATGACCATGTTTGGTCAGCAGATTGCAGTGGTGAGTTGTAACCTATGAGAACTTTTTTGATTATATGATACCTACATCACCAGTTCTAGGATTTTAAGCAAGCAATAATCAATCTCCTGTACAACAAAAAAGAATGACTTCATATCTGGTCTGCCAGAAATTTACTTCCAATTCTTCCTATACTTTTAATGAAGGGTATATTAAGCACAACAAGTGCAACTTCTTGTTCAACAATGTGAAAAAGTATATAAAGATCTTGGTGCACTCTTTTCATTTTGTTAATTTTCCAAATTGTCATTCCAGAATTATGGGAAATCTTCTGGATAAGGTTTTTTTGTCTCGTCTGTGACAAAAGTTGTAGTATGGGAGACATAGGGATTACAATCCAGGGGCGGCATAAAATAATTGTATAAAGATTTATATTTCAGAAGGTAGAAGACCTGGATACTTCATACCTTGGATACAGATACCTTATATTATGGAGTTCCCATCTGTCGTATGTCAATTGTCCCTGTCCTCATTTTCAGCGACTGCTTGAAAAAAAAATTAGTTTTTTGTCATGAGTATCTCTCACTTATTTAGAGTGTTAAAAAAAATTACAAATAAATAAATAAAATCAAAAATGGTCTTGAATATATACAATTATGAAGAACAAAATGATATTAATAATTAGAAAAAAAAAAAAAAAAAAATCGTCTATAGTTGTGTATAATACGCATCCCCAATACCAACTACATTTATGGGATAAAAAAGTGCATACTATACACGAAAAAATATGGTAATAGTATAATTATATTTGGTATATGGGTTCCTTGCAATGTCTTCATGCCCGTCACACAGGATTCACCTGAATTCGACCTCATTTCATAGATGTGATTAGGTCCGTTTCTTCGATAATATAAGTAGGTGAACTATATGTGGTGTATGGAATGATTGTAAAGGGTACATGTCAGTCTGGCAGGTTTCATTTGACCTTGACCTTATTTTCATGGTTCATGAGTCAATGAAGTTTCTGTATTTGGTCTATTTTTCTAATACTATAAGCAATAGGTTAAATATGTTTGGCATATGGAATGATTGTAAGGTGTATAAGTATGTCTGGCAGGTATCATCTGACCTAAACCTCATTTTCATGGTTCATTGATTAATGTTTAGTTTTTATACGACTGCAAAAAAATTTTGCGGTCCTATATTGGTATGACGTTGGCGGCGTCGTCGTCCGAAGACACATTGGTTTTCGCACTCTAACTTTAGTTTAAGTGAATGGATCTCTATGAAATTTTACCATAAGGTTCAATACCACAAAAGGAAGGTTGGGATTGATTTTGGGGGTTATGGTACTAACAGTTAAGGAATTAGGGGCCAAAAATAAGCATTTTTGTAACTTCCAGACATAACTTGTGTGTTAGTGTATGGATCTCTCTGACATTGTACCATAAGGTTCCATATCACAAAGGGAATGCTGGGATTGATTTTGGGGGTAATTGCCTCAAAATTGTAGGAAAAAGGGGCCAAAAAAGGGGCAAAAAACAAGCATTTTTCTAGTTTCATGACAATAACTTGTTTGTAAGTGTATGGATCTTTCTGAAATTGTACTACAAGGTTCCATATCACAAAGGGAAAGCTGGAATTGAGTTTGGGGGTAATTGCCCAAAACGTTTAGGAAAAGGGGGCCAAAAATAAGCATTTTTTAGTTTCCAGACAATAACTTGTGTTCAAGTGTATGGATCTCTCTGAAATTGTACTGCAAGGTACCATACCACTAAGGGAAGGCTGGGATTGATTTTGGGGGTAATTGCCTCAACATTTTAGGAATTAGGGGCCAAACGGGGCAAAAAAACAAGCATTTTTTCTAGTTTCAGGACAATAACTTGTGTGTAAGTGTATGGATCTTTATGAAATTGTACTATAAGGTTCCATATCACAAAGGGAAAGCTGTTATTGAGTTTTGGGGTGATTAATCCTAAGGGGGTTCAAAAAATTGGGGGGGGGGGATTTTTTTTTCCTTTTTTTCCTTTTTTTTTCTTTAAAATTTTCCATTTTAAATTGGTTATTTCTGATTTATATATAAAAGCAAATAATAATGATATGGTTTGAATATGTAAATTAAAATTTTCTTAGACCACATTCATTCTGTGTCAGAAACCTATGCTGTGTCAAATATTTAATCACAATCCAAATTCAGAGCTGTATCAAGCTTAAATTTTGTGTCCATACTTGCCCCAACTGTTCAGGGTTCGACCTCTGCGGTCATATCAAGCTGCACCCCAGCGGAGCATTTTATTGTGTTTTGGTCAGTTTTTCCTATTACGATAAACAAGAGGTCAAATAAGTTTAATGTATGGAATTATTGTAAGGCGTTCATGTCTGTCTGGCAGATATTATTTGTCCTTGACCTCATTTTCATGGTTCATTGGTCAATGTTAAGTTTTAGTTGTTAGATCCTCTACTAAGATACAATAAGCATTTATCAACTATATTTGGTTTATGGAATGATTGTAAGGTGAATATGTCTGTCTGGCAGGGTTCATTTGACCTTGACCTCATTTTCATGGTTAGTTGGTCAATTGCCAGTTTTCCTGGTTTAGTTTGTTTCTTAGATAATAGATATTATAAGTAATAAGGTCTGACCTTGACCTCAATTTCATGGATCATTTATAAGGTTAAGTTCATGTGATACTTGTAGTAAAACTTTTATCTTTAGGACTATCAACATAAAATCAATTATGGTTGGTAAAGCAGGCGAGACATTTCAGCATGTGCACTCTTGTTTTATTCACCAAAAGCAGGCTCGACAAAAATGAATAAAACATGCATTTTGATAGAATCATGAATTTTTTCAAGGAAAGAATTCCGCTCAATTAAAGCAAAGAATTTTGCTAAAACTTATGCTAGGGGCTCTTGAACTTGCAGTAAGGTGCGACACTTTGCTCCATGTTGAAGGCCTCACACTGTCATTTGAGATAACACCAATAAAAGTTTTGTTGCATTAATTTTGGTTTTGTTTAGTGCTTTCAGTGATTTTGTGTCATGAATGTATACACCATACCCATTCTGAAATGAATTGGATTCTTTTAAATTCTATCAATAAAAGGTGGATATATTTATGCTATACACTTGCACTCAGAGAAGGCACTTTAAATTTCTTAAAAGTTGACATAGGCTTATTGATTATTTATTGTTTGATTTTTATGTCTAGTTAAGTAGACACAAGTATATAATCATAATAATTTTCAACGGTGGTTGTCTTTTTTTTATATCTTAAGGATGTTAGCTACTCTGTTTCAAAATAATTAGATTTTTAAAAGACTGTTATAAATTGGAACTATATTAATAAAGGAACTAAAAAAGCAGAAAAAAATGAAGGGTCCGTGTGCATTTTTTCAAGATATGAGCCTGTGAAAATTTGTCGGGAAGTGATTCTCTCTAGATTTTTCATACATTTAACATTGGTACCATTTTACTTAAAAACTATGAAAAAATACAAGGATTTTATAAGATTTTCAAATATGGCTTTTTAAACTATATGCAATAAAAATATGAAAAGAAAAGTAGGGGTTTGTGGGCAAAATCTTTTAATGGCACTGCATGGATAAAACCAGAGGATTCCGAATATCCTGCAAAAATTCAATAACAACAGGAGCGAACATCCTTAATGTTTTTTGTCATTTAAGGAATTTGGTATTAATTGCACATCTTTCCGTAAATTTATTCACAACCTTTTTACACTTGATCTGATTTAGTGCTTGACATAATGTATAGGCAGTTGACTTTTACTGACCTCTAGTTATCTTTTGCTTTGTGCTTTTGAGTTGCTGTTTTAATGGTGTGTACACATATTTTTTTATTCATATAAAAAAAACACATAAAGCTTGCAATTTTTAATATCTCCCACCCAGCAATAACTTTTGCATATTTCAATCATGATATGTATCTATAAAAATAAACTGAAATTACTAACATATCTTAATACAGCATATTTATCTACAGTTTCTAAGTTTAAAAAATATCTCTCTGATTTTTAATAACTAACAGTAAATAGTATTAATTTTTTAATATAATATCATTGCTTACTAAAAATACTAAATATTTTAGATAATCGCTATAGTGGGACTTCCCTTTTAGCATAGCAGGAATGTTTATTAAAGATTTCAAACTTTTATTGCCTCCAAGTTAAGTAAGGTCAGCCAAGAAATTTCAAACAAAGCCTGCCCTAATGTAACTGGTGGACCCAAATTCACTACAATCCAAAAGGTATTCTCTCGTCCTGGTGGACTTTAAAAATGATTTACAATTCAAAATTTTCAGTTGGTCTTGTAAAATGTATTGACTGAAACACAAACATCAGCACATATTCAGCATATTGTACAACATGCATAAAGATGGCTGTGAAGATAATTAGACATGACAAGTTGAATCATTACAGCTTGATGCTTCTTTCAAATATCATTTAATTCATTTACCTAAATGTAAAATTATTCTATGCATAATGCATTATCATGAAAAAAAGTAAACGGAGATGTCAGAAGGCACTATTCATTTTATCTCATTATGCATGTGATCCTAACTTATTGATTTGTTTTATTTATGAAGCTGATATTCAGGGGGAAAACACTACCCATAATATTTAATATGATTTTGAAATGCCTTCCAACCCAGTTTAGTTAAACTGTAAAACATGTGTGAACAGAACCTGTTTAAACTTAACTTTTGTAACAGGACATGCAATGAATAGTCTTTTATAATATTACCAGTACCTATATAAACAAAATCTTCAGTCTAATAAGTGTTCATTGTAGAGACGTTTCAATGTAATTGCCAACTTTACATGATGCATAAAGACTTTAAATACAAAAACAGAAATATATGCATATACATTTTGCAAGCTATCATGCTGACTAGATTAAACTGCAGCTTCTGTAAAGCTGGATAAAAATAATATCAAAAACTTTAAAATTACATACAAGATTGGTGTATAAACCCCAAAACAATATATTCTTTATATTTCATTTTAACATCATCATCTTTCCTCATTAAGATACTAATTGACTGATGCTGTTTGAGGTAGCTAAATGTCAAAGGACAAATAATCCATGCATGTTCAAGAACAACTGAAACAATTAATCACTCTGGGAGGTTCAACAAAGTGGGTCCACTGGAATGATAGGTAGGAAATTCCTGTCACGTTATTTTACAAAAATCTAGGACCATTACATTATAAATTTAACCAACTTGACAGCCCTTCGAGAAACTAACAAGGGTCTGGCAAACAGGATGATTGAATTTTTTAACGCTGCAAAGGTATTAAATACTGTATACACACATAATAACCCATGGACAATATTAATGATAAATCATACTAAACAATCAGTTATAGTAAGTGTCAAAAGACCTTTTCAAATCAAAACAAAAGCTATATGACAATTTTCACTAGAAATTTTACTCTGAATGATTGAAGATATGTATGTACCGTAAGTCTTTATCACCTATTCTGAAACATCATCAGATCTCACATTATTTCAGAATCATAGGTAGAATTTACTTCTCCTTTTGAAACTGATAGGGAGAAGTGGTGAGACTGATATGTGTTAGGGGACTGGCCTTATATTTCATTTGATTTGTTTTATTGTCCCATACAAGAATATGTATGGATTCAGGTAGGGGATCTTGACTGTTTACAAGTTTTCAAAAAGAAGGGGGGGTCCTGGGGACTCCCCCAATATTTTGTTTGATTTGTTTTATTGTCCCATACAAGAATATATATGTGTGCTCAGGGTCTAATGATCAAGTTGGAAAATCATGTTCATCTTACAGCAAATCTAAATGCAATGTTGTTAACTTCTTGCTTCCAATCTTAAAAGCATATATTTGAGATTCATTCAATTATGAAAATGAGGTCACGGTTTAATGCCACATGACTAAATGACATAGTCTCAGTGAAGAATGTACATACAAAAACTTTGGGTTTAAGAATTTACTTTTTTTTTTTAAATTAAACCGAAATCCTAAAACTTAAGAAGTTACTATATCACTAAAGTAAGGTTGACAGATCACATATGCCACACAAAAAGCAGAGCACAAGGCATATAATATGTATATATGCATAATACTAGATTGCACAACTCTTAAACTTAAAATGCCACCATCACTAGAATTGCATACAAGCATGTAAGCTAAATTTATCACAAGCAAGAAAATAATAACTTGAAAGATGATGTTGTTAAAAATAATTGGCAAAATCTGTATATCACATATGCTTAGCTAAATGAAAGATATAATGAAATGTCATTTTGTAAAAAATCTGGTATCTACAGATTCCTTTGTAAGTTTTCTACCATGTTGAGATTCAAAACATTTAGAAATCCACACCAGAAACAACTAGATGCTGCATGGTATTTCTTGCTGAAAAAAGAAACAATATGAGTTCAATCAAGGAGTCAGCTAGCTTTCTTCATAATTTTTAATGATTAAGTTCTAGTTGCAAATTCTTCATTCATTTTCTAGATGAGATCATTTTTATTAACTGAAAGTACAGTGACAAATATTTCTTACATATTCTAAACTAAATCAAATTAATAAATTGAAAACAATCCTTCTGTTCAGTGAGTAGACAGGAATGACAGGAATTTTGTTGTTTTTGGGAAGATAAAGATTTCACTAAACGCAATCAAAACAATATTGTCACTTGCTTGACAGCTATACTTAGCTGTATTCCAGGGAAAATCACTAACGCACATAACACAGAGCAGTGATACAAATTATCAACAAAATAGTCTCAGATATTCAAGTTACAAAATGATGTAAATGGGTATAACCATATCTGACCAAGAAAAATATTTTATCAAACACCACATAAGTAACATTTATTGCATGGCGTATGAATCTATCTCTTCTTCCATTAATTATGGACAAAGGAAGACAGGTCCAGAGCAAAATATTACCCAAATTTGTTCCATTGCTAAGTATAACTTTCACAATACAAAATAAATGCTTACAAATTTTGGGAAGATGGTTTTCTTTTTATCCCTTTTTTTCAGGGTCATAATGGGCAATTTTTCATGAATTTAGGCTTTGAATAAATAACTTATAGAAAGGCTGTTTTTCTAGATTAAACATGATCTGGTTAAATCTTTATTGGGAGAGAATTTTGTAACTAGACTATATCAACTGTAATAAAAATAAATAAATGAATATAGAGTATACATTAGTGTTACAAAATTCAGACACAAACCTTCAAAATAAGTAGTATCAGTTTCATCATCAGGTTGGGGTACAAATGCTGGTTCTATGTCTAGCAAGTTATTCCAATCTAAGTCGCTGAAATATTCCATCTTTTTCACCTCTGAAAGATGAAATAACAATATCTATTACATGCGAACATGTGAGTTGGCAACTATGCTCGGCAGTTGAATGCACCTGCCAAGTGCTGGGCTCTAACTCACAACCTCAGCGTTGACAGGCTAGTAGTAGGGTTGTTAAACTTCTTACACCACTCAGCCACCGAGGCAAATGAAAAATTATATAACTGCTTCAGATCAAAAGGACACTTTTTGTAAATTACTTGCCTAAATGTTCAGAATGCTTCTTGAACTAAATCTATGTTTATTTATATTATAACATACAAAGTAGAGTAAATTCAGAAATTTTAGCATGCATTTATTAGTACCCATTATCAGGTTGTCTTCATATTGATATCGTAAAATATCAGCTGCGAATCACAATATGAAGCTTTTTGTTGAGTGAGCGCAGCGAGCAAGATCAAAAAGGCTTCATATTGTGTCGAGCAGCTGATATTTTACAATATCAATATGCATACAACCAGATAATCAATTTATCGGGTTGTATTTGCACATTTTGCATGATAGAAACAACTGTTTTCTTTGTTTCACCAGCAAACCGGAAGATGACGTGATAAGTTCGGGTCAAACTTATCAATGCTGGATCATATATTATGACGTTGGTGATATGTCAGGGTCAAAGTTATTAAGGCCGGGTCAACGTATTTGACGTCACAAAGCCATGATATGCAATTTTATTAAGAGCCGAGCAGAGTGATACAGACAGAGGGACGACCGATAATTGCAATTATTGAATAATTGACACAAATTCAAGATTAATTATTGCAATTTCAGGAAAAGCTACAAACAAATAATGCTATCAAAAATTAAAATGTGAGTTTTAATTTTTATTTTGCAAAAAACATATCCTGTCACTTTTTTGCTGTGTTCTTTTAGATGAAGGCCAGACCAACATACAGTCTAGGGGAGACATAAGCCGCCTGTGTTAAAAAAATGTTCAAGCCCTGTCATGTTAGGTTGTTAAATAATGAGATTAACAACTTATTTAACATTAAATACAAGATTTTGTTACTCCTAAATTTTTTATCCAAATAAGACCTTAAGTGCATCTCCTCATTTCAACAAATATGCAGATCTATCATTGTTTATAGAACAAAACTCAAAATTATTAAGATTTCTAGCAATTTAGCTACTGAAGATTCCTTTATTTTCTTGGGTACCAATTTACGCGGACTGAAGAAAAATGTTATTTTCATGGATATTTGATTTCATGGTTTTGTCAAATTTTGTATGCAAGCCTATTGAAAATGTTACTTCATTGAACATTTAAATTTGTGGTTCATCTATCCCACGATTAATAACTAATTCACAGTATACAACTGTATGGTTAAACTGTCTGTCAAGATTTCATTATGCACAACTAATTCTTTTGTGAAATGTCTCATCATAACATAACTTATGTCTCATAACTGACTGTACTAATTCATTGATCAAAGGAAAGATCATTTTAGTGGAGGACATGATTTTTAATTAATATTCCTGGGTCTATTTACCTTGAGCAGTAGGTCTTTTCCTTGGGTCCATTGTTAATAAATTATCAATAGCCTGCTGGGCATGTTTAGACATAGCCTCATCTTCATCTGGCCAAGGAACATCTGAAATATAATATATATTGAATCTTGGCTATAAACAATAAAAAAGTTATCCTCAATGAAATAATTCCTGGAAAAATCCTATTTTTATATTATCAAAATACCACAACATATCAGCTCATTTTCATAAATGCAATTCTTTTCAATATAATGCACCTTTTCAAGTTGATATAAGAGATCATTATTCCCAATAACACAAATTCGGAAGTATTTTTGAAGGTTGTAAGGTTTTGCCATTTAAGTTTTAGCCTTTAAATGATGCCAAAAAATCCTTGATACATGTACATTTCATAACCAAACAGACAAACAGACTAAAAGACATAAGCAGTTATTTGATTGCATTGTAAGGGGTTATTATTAAACCCTGTAAGTATGCTATCCTTCAGTGGTACCAAATTGTATTACATATTTTCCATTTGATTATTGTAAGGTTTAAACATTTATGCTTTCTCTCTGCATTTTTTTTTTGGGCAAAAACTATTTCTTTGTCAGCATGTTGTAAGGTGACCATAAAATAAAATTATGGTATTTTTTTAAGCATCTTTAGATATCAAATTTTTTGGTTTGAGCATTGAAAGTAAATCTAGAACAGTGCTTCACACCAAATATACAAAGTGTTATTTTCATAGTTTGGAAGACGGCTAAAAATTTGAAAATTTATGTACAAATCATAAAAATGATCTAAGTTATGTTTTAATCATAGCTTTGTTTTGTGAAACAAAATGCTTTAAAATTAAAAACTGATAATAAAAACTGATAAAGTTTTTAGTAACAATACAATTCAACATAAATTGGTGCAGGTCTCATCTGTTATAAACTTTTGTTGCTGTGTTACTGTTTTGTCTTTTCATTATTCCATTCTAGCAATAGCTAAAGTATCTAAAAAAAATCTCACCTTTACTTAATATATTACGAAAAACTAGTTCAGGTGTCTCATCATTAAATGGAGGAACACCAGTTAAAAACTCAAACAAACAAACCCCTAGAGCCCACCAGTCAACAGGTTTACCTGTAAATAGAAGTCATATAATCAAAACATTTTAAATGACTGGAAAAACTAAGAATGATCCTTAGTAATTCTATACTTTAATAATTAATTTGCATCAAACAACATTTTTTTCTTTGCCACATCAGATATTTTTTTTCCATATGCCAAAAAAGGTGACCCCAAGAGCAAACTGCATTTTATTCCAGGCAGTAATAACCCATCTTGCTGACATGTATACATATTTGAATGTTAAGCAACCAACAATCAATCAATCTTTTGTGTTTTGAAATATTTTTTTACACGCTGTGTTATATAATCAGAATTTAAAAGCCTTATTGTTTATAAATACCATGTGGTTCCTGTTTTAATATTTCTGGAGCCAAGTAGTCTGGAGTACCAAGTATTCTTTCTGTACAAGGAGGTCGTCCACGTCTGACACTCTTTGGTGTCCTGTATGGTGTCTTCAGCAGACCTGCTGCAGGTGTCCAGACCTGACCTGGTGTCTTCAGCAATCCTGGCGTACTCATACAATTACCAGGTGTCTTAAACAATGGAGGTTGATGTGTCTGCAAAATAAATACCATAAAAAACTACAAATCTTTACAAGACCTCTTAGGTTAAACAAAGGGCCTCATTTTTCTGTCTTTAAGCTTTTGTTTTACCTTTTATTTTAGTGGTTGCACTTAATGTACCTTTTTTAAGAACATTTGCAAATAAATGAAAGAAAGTTTATATGTCCTCAGATTTTAAAATTGTCATAGCTATTCCAGCTATGTTATTTACAATACATGAATAAGTACTTGGTCATATTGGTAGGAGTGAAACATGTTAGAAAATATTTTTAAACATTTCTACTCAGCCATGGAAAATTGAACCCTCTACCATGGAAAATTAAAGCCCCCTGTAAGAGGAAATATAAAAATGTAATAATCTGTACAATCTAAACTATATATGTGTCTAAGATGCAGATCCAGGATTTTGAAAAAGAGGGACTACAAACTAGGAGTAGAAAGTATAAAAAGTCTATGCATTAACTATATATGTTTTAGCCACACTTCTTGACATAATAGCAATGATTGATTGGTTTGCTTTTACACATATTAAATGCATTCACTAGACTGTATTATACCTTTTGTTTTCCAGTAGATTCAGGGGTACATGGAACTCCAGACATACCAGAGCTGAATTTGAAAGAGCTAAATGATCTGTTGTCTGATAAAAATTTGTTTGTACTACAGAATCTTGTCATTTTTACTGGTGTTGTCTTTTTTACAATTTCTGTCTTCTCTTGGGTCTGCAATAAAACATTTAATAAAATATACCATTGTATATGTTAGATGTACTATATGCATTTAAATTCATTTTAATAAGGTGTTACTAAATAAATAGCAGTTTCATTAAATATTTTAAAGATGTGTTGCAACAAAAATTAGTTAAAGGGGCACTAGCTACGATATATATATAAAAATCTAAAATACGATTTTTTTTGTTCAATCATTAATGAAAGTGAAATAGTGAAATAATAATTAGCTTTTAGCAGCCAGTATTGTTCAACTTTGTCAAAATAAGCTAAGAAACATTGATGATGACAGTGTTATCCCCAGAAATTTTGGATAGCATCACATTTGGCGTAAAAAAATAAACTGATTTTTTATCAATGTCATTTGTTGTGTCACAGCGATGCTCTAACAGTTGTTTCAGTTTATGTTTTCTATATTCATTTATAGTTACAGTATTATTTTTTTCATCTTGGGCCAAACAAAAATATATGTGTGGTTCCAGTTACCCTATCTACCCAACTAAATGAATGAATGAATGGTTTATTTTAGTGCAACCTGTATATATACAATACTAAATATCTAGTAAAAAAAAGAACTGCTTTTTTTATATAAAAAGGGAAGAGAAAGTTCAACATATAGCAATAAAATTTCAATCAAAAACTTTTTTCTTTATCATGTCTATGAAATTCATTGTTTCATGGTACTCAATGAATTAATCCCAGTTGTTGCTTTATATCAAAATGATATTTTTAACAAAGTTAAGCTACTTTAATCAGTATATTTAAACAATGCATTTTCAAAAAGAAAACATTGAGCAAGGAGATCTAACAAATAGTCTGCTAATGCGTGTTGGATGCGTAGTTTTCTCTTTTGGGATTATTTTTTCTGTCCACTGTGCCATTTGTGCATCTGTAGTTATTATCGTAAAAAGATGATTTTTATCATATCTGGTCCGGTTCCCATCCGTAGTTTACATAATTATTTCAATGGCGGCCGATGAAAAATTAACGAAAATAAACAATGTTTGTCAAGAGATAGGGAATGAATATGACGCTTTTAATGCATTAAATGGATGAAACATTAATTAAAGCAAAGTATGATCACTTTCTAAAGAAGTATCAAACTTATTAAGCTCAAAATAAAAATGTTAAATATACGTTCTCGATGAACAAGTAGTACCGGATGGGAAAGAAAGTAATTTTTTGAAAGTTGTAAAAATATACGACCAAACCTCTTTTCTAAAGAGATAAATCATTTGTATCTTTGAATTTCCATTATGCAAATGTAAATTTCAAAATTGTTTTATGATTTTCTGATTACATTTTCTCCATGTCAAAATTTGCGATCGGACCACGTGGTACAAGTCATGTCACAAGTGTCAGCTTGGGGTATTTGTATCCAAACAGTTATCACCCAAAGGGCAATTAACACCTATTTAATCACTCTAAATTGCCTCTATTGTCCAACTTGAAGGGATTACAATTAAAGGTGATATAGTTTTTATGATCACAAGCGGTAATTAGATGAAAGTTCAAAATTTAGTACATGGTTTGCGGTATAGAGACAAGAACAATAGCATCCTCAAAATAATTTTAGCTTCGCAGAAATTTATTATAGCATCACAGGAAAAAAAATATAGCGTCTCAGTGCCGTGACGCTAAAACGCCCTGGGGAGAACACTGGATCATGAATTATTCACATGCAAGTGAATTATTCGACCCCATTGAATCCGTATTCATGTGAATTTCAATTTAACCCTTTAGGTAGAGATGGATAATGCATGAATTATGCATGTTGAGTTATTTAAAGGAAAAGAATGTCAACATTGAAAGTGAAACAAAGTTAAATCATTTGATTGACTGATTCTATCCACAAAAAATCATTAATATACAGGTAAAAAAAACGATGATTAGCATATACATGTATTTTAAATCTATAATATGAAATTAAACAGACCTAGAAAAATCCAATTGCACGAGTTCCCAATCTATCTATATCTATATTTATGTTTATATCACTTATATGACCATCGGAGGTCTTCGGAGGTCAACTCGATAGTTAATCAGATGGCGTCTAGACTAAAATACACATGAAAAGAAACTACATATTATCGAGCCCATGTCCTATAAATTGTTTATTTTAGACTTTTTACAATTTGGATAAATGTTTTACATTGTTATAAATCAAATCTGTGAATTTGTGTCAAATCGGTGAACATGAATTTGACAGCTAGTGCCCCTTTAATAAACATGTACACTTATGGTATATAAAAATAATATATGAATAAGGTTATGTGATATGATAAAAAAAAAATTTATTTCAGGGTCAACAAGTGGCCATAGGCCAAAAAATGAAATGAGCTTAGGTTAAAATTTCCTGCAACAGAATCATAGGGTCTGTAGGTAAGCAATCAAGTTCACAAAAAATCTAACACGCAAATTTACTATTTATGTCATGATCATTTCAGTATAACCTACAATCAATTTTAGTCCTAATTTTTTTAGTGAAAAGTGCTACAGGTTTTTTGAGGTTGCATGCCAGAAAATAGGCTATTTTCATAGATTCTCATTCCAGTATCGATCCTTTGAATAAAATTGTTCTTAAACGTTATCAATTTAACACAGCAGTAACTCTTATATTGGTGCTTTTTGTCTATCGTTTTTTACGTTAGTTGTTTTTGTGCTTTGTACCAATTTTTTTTAGTTAAGTCAATTGCAACTGATTTTTACAGTTTGTTATTATGTTGTGAGGTTACACTACTGTCCCAGGTTAGAGGAGGGTTGAGTGCTCACAAACATGTTCAACCCCTCCTCATTATTAATGAGCCTGTCACAAGTCAGGATCCTGTAGTTCAGTGCTTGTCATTTGGTTCATGTCTGTCATATTTGTTTTTTATAAATTGTTTTGTTATAAATCAGGCCCTTAGTTTCCTCATTTGAATTGTTTCACATTTTTCAAGTCAGGGCCTTTTATACTATAGCCGAATATACAGTATTCAAGAAGATAACAAAGTATAAGAAGCTCTTAAAGATAAAAGCTGTTATGTTATGTTTACCTTTGAATCATTAACAATTAATTCATCATCATCATCAGAGCTTACAGAGATATTAAATATTGCATGTGGTGATTTATTTACTTGCACATCAATAGTCTCAAGGCTATCTACATGCATGTGTTCTAAAACTGTAAATTGACTACTATCATTATTAGTTTTGCCATTTCTATTATCACAGCTGTCGGCTTTTTGATGAAAACTTGAATGCAAATGCTCTCCAGTAAAACCAGCAAAGTCCCGATAATTCTGACTATCACTTTCACACTGTCTCATTTCTGCTATGGCAAGTATCTCTGAATTCCCAGAATTAGATCTTTTAAAGCGATGTTCATCACCATATAGAGATAATATATTAATTTCTTGTGTCAATCCAGAATTTGAAGACGAATGTTTCAAACATGGACTTTTGTCCAAGCAAACGAAAGATCGTTTTCTGCTTAATGTCTTCTTTTCCTGAATTTGAATATGCTCTATGTCTCCATTTTCATCATCAGAATGGTAGCTATAAAAACTACTTTCAGCATTATTAGACTGATTTGCGTCATCCAATTCTTGTTTCAACGATATTTCTGGCACAGAATCATTCCTAACATCAGTACTTGCTGAGTTTTTATGACCATTTCCTTCACTATCATCACTGTCTTCCGAGTAGGAACCATACCTCATCGATCTCAGATTTCTGGCAGCATACGAGTTCCATACAGCTTCATCTGTCCTAAAATTAAACATGGAAATTTCAAAATAGATTGTGTGATTAAGGTGTTTCTACAAATGTTGCCTTGTGTAACTTAATCCTATATTCTTTCTTTTCTCATGAAATACATGTTAATATATATACAACCTGACTGACTAAAGTGTCAACTAAAATTACTGCTCTATCGTTTAATAAAATTATTAGGACACTCATATTCGACTTAATAAAGTAAAATAAAATAAGCACTAACATAAAATATACAAACTGTTACTACAATTTCAGAATGAATTTTCTATATACATTGTTTAAATTGATGCAAAAAAATTCGCAGATAATTTAGTTTTTCTGCATAAAAAAGTGTTACAAATTGCAAGCAATATCATAATTTCTAAATTTGCAGTTCTATTATTACAAATACCCTAACCATAAATATATACCTATGCATTTGTGGTGTATCGTCTAACTCACTCTGTTGCCTTGATGGTATTTTAAGATGGCTTTGACAAGCACAATTTTCTGTATTTTCCTTCATACAAGTATGAAAAACTTCCTCAATACTGCTATCACTTACACAAGATATATTTATACTGACACTGGAATTGAATACACTATCATCGCTTGTTTCTGCTATAGAAGAATTGTTTAGAATGTGGGATAATGATAATGGCTGACGTTTCAAGTCTCGAAACGATCCTTTTGATTTTCCTTCACTAATTATACTTGAAAGTCTCGAAGATTCCTTTCTACTGAAAGATATATCACTGCTTGCATGGGTTGACCAATTCAACGATTCTTGTAGTGTTGGCGTCAGACTCTTTACAGGTGGAGTTAGTCTTGCTAAGGATGATCTACGAGCTGAGCTCACTAATCTATCTCGTATACTCAAACGTTTCTTGGAAATCAATGGAGAATGTCTGATATCATTAAGATGATTTCTTCTGTTGTTGAAAGACGCAGGTGTATCTAAACTACTGACACTAGATCTAACTGGTGTCTGTTGAGAATTCTGAAATGAACAGAAATTGAAATAGTACTGGGCTAAACAAAGAGACTGAGTTGCAATGTATAGGTTCTTTCAGTATGCAACAAAATTATTGTGTAAGAAAAGTGTATCCAATTATACCAAATTTTCCATTTTTTATAAGAAGAGCTACTGTTGCTAAATATCGAAATGATTTTTCCATCTTAGATTATACACACAATACTGTTTTAAATACAGGTAGAGTAAAACATATCTCTTCTTTCTTTGTATACATCAAAACAATTATCAAATAATAAACAATACTTTATAATTATGGGTATGGCTTTTCCTTGAAAAAAAGGGTAATAGACTTTTGAAGCAGGAAAATGAAGATATAGGATATATGTGTAATACACTTAACGTGTGGGTACCAAAATTGCACTTTTTTGAAAGTTTTTTCACCTATTTATAATCCTGACAAAGGTTTCCATTCTGTGTTTATTTTGTAGATGTGTCCTTATTTACTATATAGTTCCACCAATTTAATTTTGAATTCACATTGAATCATAGAAAAATGTGTTTGTACTGACCTCCAAACAATCCATGATTCTGTAATGAGGAGTACCCAAATTGCATCCATGCATAAATTCACATCCGTAAAAACAGAATAACTAATGTTTGTTTTATTTCTCCAAATATTTAGAACAATTTGACAATAGTCCATGCTTACTATTCATTTTTTAAGAAATGGATGCCTGTAACATATTTTATTTGCTCATTTTTATAAGTTGACTTTTTGTGGATATTGCATGGCGAGATTTATGTAGATTTTTTTTCCAGTTAATACTTTATCTGTTGATATTTACTGTGAACGTTTTGCGTATATTTAAATATATATAGCTATGTCGAAAGGCGTGCATAATGTCAAAAAAAAAAATACAAATTGTTTAGTCTCTAAGCAAACTTGTAAGATTTCCGCTGTTAATTTGGCTAAATGGGTGCAATTTGGGTACTTGGTACAATTCAGGTACTCTGACGTTAAAACTATTAAACTTAACCCAAACAGGAATAGACTTGACAGTTATTTAGTTAGTACAGTTTTGTGAGTTGGAATTGTTTTAGATTTGTTTGAATTGATTGCCCCTTTTCTCTGTTTCATTTTTTGTAAAAAACTACTCCTTTGTTAGCATACACAGCTCATGGGAATTTCACGTGAAATTCACCTCAAACAGACTTATACATGTAAGTGAAACTCACATGAAAATTTTCATGTGAATTTCACATGAATCTCACTTGAAATTTTTCACTTGATTTTCACATGAACTTTATATAAAAAAATTGGTAATTATCCCGATTTTAATTAAGATTTGATAATTAAGATGTTATTTGAATATTTGAAAAAATCTATGTGATGTTCACGTGAAATTCATGTTTATATAATAGATTCACTATAAACTCTTTGGAGGTGAAAGTCAGGTGAGTGAAATTTCCCTATGTAATACTGATTTTTAGACAATATTTATCAAAAACATTTGTAGATAGATTTTATTTGTTGAGGAAAAATATGATTATGATTAGCTGTTAATTTTGTAAGTCTAAATTACTTTGGCAAGAAAATAAAAATCAAAATATTTAGTTATACAGATCAATGTCTACATTATACCATTTCTAATGACTTACAAATCCAAGATTACTCTTTAAAGACAGTATTTGACCTGGAGTCCTGTAGTAGTCCCGTCTACTCTTATAGTTTGTAGGTAGTGGGGTCTTGGTTACATCAATTCCTATTTTATCTGTAACAATTAGATATTAGTACTGTTGTATTCTATTGATTTTCATATATTAAAGTATTATATTGAGAAACATAAAAATCATAAGTTTGATCAATTGATTGATGGTATTCACCTTTGCTTATGGTACACTGGCAAATGTATTCAGGATGACAAAAAAAATAAATTTGTAAGGGGTTCAACAGAACCCTGTGTATCGCTTATGATTACTGCTGTCAGTGTAAACGTGTAATGTTGACTAAAAAAGTGAGTCCATGTATCAGTAAAATACAGAATTGAAAAAAAAATTAAATGCTATTTCTTGGTCTTGAAGATAAGCTTCTGTCCAAATTTCATGACAATCCATGAATGTTTACAAATTTATCATGTCAAATAAAGTAAATCCCAGACTGTCTGTAAATGTTAACTGTAAAAAAAATAAGTCCATCTATCAGAAAAATACTGAAAATGAAATTATACATTCAGAAAATATATTTTCAAAAGTTTGCTTCAGACATTATCTCTTAATAATAAAAAAGCTTCTGCCAAAGTTTCATAAAATTCTATGAAGGTTTGACAAAGTATTTGATGTGTAACAAACTTTAACCCCAGACTGTATCTACTTGTTAAATGTAAAAAAATCTAAGTCCATTTATCAGTAAAATACGAAAAAATGAAGATAGATATTTCCAAAATGTTGCTCTGGATACTGTATTTTGGTCATAAACAAGCTTCTGTCCAAATTTCATAAAATTCCATGAAAGTTTGACAAAATTATTGATGACTGAAAAACTTTAACTTCAGACTGAATCTAAACGTAAACTGTAAAAACTAGAGGCTCTAAAGAGCCTGTGTCGCTCACCTTGGTCTATGTGCTGCAGTGCATATTAAACAAAGAACACTCTACAACATCAAAGACAAGAATAGAATTCATGACAAAATTCAGTTTTGGTGATGGTGACTTGTTTGTAGATCTTACTTTACTGAACATTCTTGCTGTTTACAGTTATCTCTATCTATAATGAACTTGGCCCAGTAGTTTCAGAGGATAAGATTTTTGTAAAAGATTACAAAAATTTAGGAAAAATTGTGAAAAATTGACTTTAAAGGGCAATAACTCTTTATGGGGTCAATTGACAATTTCGGTCATGTTTGACTTATTTGTAGGTCTTACTTTGCTGAACAATTTTGCTGTTTATAGTTTATCTCTATCTATTATAATATTCAAAATAATTACCAAAAACTGCAAAATTTCCCTAAAATTACCCATTCAGGGGCAGCAACCCAACAACGGGTTGTCTGATGCATCCGCAAATTTCAGGGCAAATAGATCTTGACCGGATGAATAATTTTAACCATGTCAGATTTGCTCTAAATGCTTTAGTTTCAGAGATACAAGCCAAAAACTGCATTTTACCCCATGTTCTATTTTTAGCAATGGCAGTCATCTTGGTTGATGGACGGGGTCATCGGATAAATTTTTAAAACTAGATACCTTAAGGATCATTTAGGCCAAGTTTAGTTTAATTTGGCACAGTAGTTTCAGAGGAGAAGATTTTTGTAAAAGTTAACGGACAACGACGACGTACGGACGGACGACGACGGACGCCAAGTGATGAGAAAAGCTCACTTTTGGGCCAGGTGAGCTAAAAACTAAGTCCATTTGTCAGTAAATAACGGAAAAATGAAAATAAATATTTTCAAAATTTTGATCTGGATACTGTATTTTGGTCATAAACAAGCTTCTGTCCAAATTTCATAAAATTCCATGAAGGTTTGACGTGGTTATTGATGCCCTAAAAAAAACTTTTAACCACAGACTGAACCTAAATGTTGATGTCGATGACGATGGAATCTAAGATAGCTATGTCTCACTTTCGCGACATAAATGTTGCAGGCTCGACAAAAACCAATAACAAGCAAGATTTGTTGAACATTATTAAATATGCTATTGTTTGACAAAAAACATCAATTAGGTAGGTGTACAAAGTGGATTTTGTCATCTGCTATTTTACTAAAAAAAAAATATCAAAAATATTCTTTAAAAGACTATCACCTTGTCCTTCAACTTACCAACATCAAGATTAACTTTTGACAATCCAAAATCTGTCAGCTTTATGTGACCTTTCCTGTCTATCAACATATTGTCTGGTTTTAAATCTCTGGAATGGAAGTAAGTGATTTACTACAGACTTAAATAATCTATCAGGTCAACGGTCTTTGTTTTGAAGCAAGACAGAATTTAAAACCCAAGGAATTTGTAGAGAAGATTCAAACATAAAGAAAACAATGAATTTTCTGTAAATGAAACATATGACAATGGAGAGGTACTCCCTTCAGTTATTTGTGCATGAAATATAATTTCTGCGCTACATCAAAGTTTAGGACTGTTAAGAACAATACTTATGATTATGCAAAAGTTCAGCAAGAGAACTTTGTCTATAAAAAATATTGAAATAAAACTATCTATCTATCAGTGATTTTTATCGTGCAATATGCTAAAGCAAATCCGGTCTAACCAGAACCCCTAAGGTTAACATTAATTATTCAATTAAGACATGCAGTGAATATTCTATAGATATTAAAACAGATCAACTGTATAATGTTGATCTGTTTTAATATCTATAGAATATTCACTGCATGTCTTAATTGAATAATTCTACCTATGAAGGTTTGACTTGGTTTGGTTTTGGTACTATCACTGTAGCTAAAATCAATTAAATGCATTGTATGTGTATAACAGCATGTACCATTTTGTCTATATACCTGTTTATTGGAGTTTTACTGCCACAAAGCATTTTATTGCAAGTTAATGAGTTATATCACCCTTTCATTTCCCCTTTTAAATGTAATTTGAATATTGGTTGTATATAAGCTTGCAACATGGTGATTGTGTTAAAGGGGGACATGTCCATTTTATTAACCCATAGATAATTACTTTTGGACAACTATTCTTATACTTTCAAATGATTTAAATGACCAAACTAAATATCTGTAAGCCTTCATGTACTATACCTACTAGCTGAATCTTGGTAGGAATGGTGCATGCAACTAAATGTCATTTAAAACTTACCTATGTACAATGCCTCTAGAATTAAGATATTCTAATGCTAATGTTACTTCAGCAGCAAACAACATGGCCATTTCCTCGTCAAAAAATCCATAGATTGCCAGTAAACTTTTTACATCCCCACCTATCAAGTATTCCATCACCTGAAAATAGTTTACAATGAAAATATATAAAAATATTGAGACCATAATCAAAATGGCAATCACATATTCATACTTTTTTTTAATCAAACAATTCAACCCAAAAGTAATTACCGGTAGCTTTATTTTTGACAAATGTAATATTGTTCCCAAGAATGGAAAATAGTAAGTCTGTTTACATCCTACAAACAAATTTGCTAGACTAAAAAATATTTTTCTGATGTTTGTGGAAATCATTATGTTTGCTGTGCCCAGAACATCCACATTTATTTTAATAATCACAGTCAATTATGGTACATATATCTTAAAGTTCATAATCAGTTATTTAATACTGTTCTGAGATTTCTAGATACATCACTTATATGTGTATCAAGCTGCAAACAAATGTTTCTTGTGTTGTTTTTTTTTAATACAAATAGTTACATACCCCAAGACGGGTATAGCCTATTATTTTTTTTTTTAGTTTCAAAGGTAACATAGTAATGATCTATTTATACAATATCCTTTAAATGTAGACACATATACATGGATTAAGTCTTTTCTTTTTGTGTCCTAAAATAGTATGGAATTTCCAGGAGTATCATTATATATATATAACATCCCTGCAGGCACACGTTGAATCTTTGTTGATTTTAGGTTATACATTGATCAACAAATATTCAACATTGATTCAACGTTGACAATTCAACGTTGAAATTAGAACATTGTTTCAACGTTGAATTAACATTGTGTTGAAACACCAATATTGAATCAACGTTGGCTAAACAATATATGATCATATATAAAACCCAGTAGTTGTGGATACCAGAATTGTCAAAAAAGAAGTATTGGGCACATCACAATTCTTTTTAAATTGACAACGATAATCACATAAAATAGAATATTCAGTAGATTTATCACTTATTGTCGTGGTGATTATAGAATTATATATAAAACAATCGCAGTGTAGAGGGGCCTGATGGGTTATTTTCGTTCTTCGTGATCGACGCATTTTCGCTATCGTGATCCGTTTTTCTACAGATTTTTTTTTTTTATATTTTCGTGATCCGTGATCATGGAAATTTATTTTCTGTGAATCGTGATTGACAAAAAAATCAACTCGTGAATCGTGATGAGACCCCCCCCCCCCCCCCCCCCCCATCAGGCCCCTCAGTGTATATCAGCATAAATTAATCATGAACTTTGCACCCCATATAATAGAAATTCCAAAATTTCACCCCACCCCAAAACATAATAAATTAATAGAACCAGCTTGCATACAGAATCATACAGTAAATATAAATATTTGTGAATAACCCCTTCCCCTAAAAATATGCCCCCTTTTTTGGTGGCTGCTGATGTCAAATATATTGTTTTCATTCCTTTTTTTTCTATTCTTTTTAACAATCTAAAGAGAAAGACGAATATATCAGTTCATAAACAATGGTTGATAACTTGTAATATAAACAACTGATATATCTATTGGAATAGTGATTTTTAAATTTTCGCGGCATTTTTAACATTTGTATTTTAAGACAAATTCAGATATGCGCATGCGCAGTTGTATTTGTTGCCAAAGTTTGAATATCCACTTTCGAGACCACAATGTGATTCTACAGAGTTTTTATCAATATCTTTCCTGTATACAGCTTTTATATTTTATCGTAAGTATATATAAATTGTTGGGATTACAGTAAATACAGTATCGTATTTTAGAAATGTGAGCATATCAAGTTGTTATGAAAACTGTACTGAAAAGTTGAAATTTTACACGAGGAAAAGGGGGATGTTTAGCATTTTACCATTCCCGATTTACCTTGGAACGTCTTATGAATTTTTATCGTTGACTATTTGAATTCATCATATGATTGAATCAAAAGTAAAAAGAAATTTTATCTTTATTTACCTGTTCAATTCAGTTACACGAAATCTCACAAAAAAGGGGGGCTTGAGAAGTTGAGTTGTTTACAAAATTGGGATGGAAAGGTCAGAAGCTATATGGCTCACCAAGTTGGACCTTTAATATTTTACTATCAAAATTGAAGTAGTGTTTTGACAAGGTAATCAAAGATGAAGGGTATATCACATGAGGGTGGTAAAGAAATATTTGCATGCAACGTATTTGGCCTTTTTATTTCTTGTTTTCTTGTCTTTGGTTCGACATGCGTTATTTGTGTTTCCCCTTATTTATTTTCCGTGTTTCGTGTTGGTACTCTTAATTTCTCGTGCTTGTCCCACATTTGATAAAAAAAGTAAACCGGGACTAAATTCCAAGTCAGTCTGGATATTTAAACTATGTGTTCCCAGGATATCATGGATATTAATTGCTATCAAGTTATGAATAATTTTTTTTCCAAATCGGATGCAACTAGTAGACGCGAAAAGGTGACCGCAGGGTCTTCGTGTCCATTATCATGACTGTGTGATCTCCAAGAACGACTGAGTAATAACTGCTAGTACTTTTTCCTTAACATTTACGATTTTATTTCTCGTGCTTCGTTTATCCCAATTTTTATTTTCCGTGCGACGTTTTGGGGATTTTTATTTCACGTGTTTTCGTGTTAAGAACCCCCCTTTACAACCCTTGTATATGTCAATCAGACAGATATCCATGCAGCAGCACAAGTAATACAGAAAAAGACATATGTGGATAAACCTTCAATTTGTTCAAGTTAAAATGTAGTAGTTAGGATTTTCTTGCAGATTATACCTTCTGGTCTATATAAAAGGAAATGTAGTTGAGATTTAGATGGAAGTTTAACTTTCATTTAGTTTTCATGAGTTCTTATGCTTTTGATTTATACTTTAAATATCATCATTATGAAGTTATTAATAGTTAAATGTGTTGAACAGTATTAAACTTGACAATGTTATAACTTTTGATTTTGTAGATGTCATCATGAAGACCTATGGAATCACGGAACAACAAGTGTCTGACCAAACAACAACCTTTCTAAAATGGGCTCCAAAAAGACAGGGTGGGAGAAGAAAGAAGTTGAAGTTTTCACTATTAATAAATAAATTTATTTTAATTTTATCGTATTGAATATTTCTCTATAATCAGTGGTTAGACATTAGAATACATGGAGTAGGAACAGCAAAATTTGTTTTATATTTTGATCACTCAGATATTTAGAATAGACATTGGGCAAAAACTATGTGTATTAAGGGTTGTGTGCTTTCAAAAATTAGGATAGATCAATATTTCTCTATGATAATTTGTGTTTTTATATGCATATCGTTAAATGTTAAAAAAATCTTGGGGGTTAAATTATGGTTCGTAGAAAAGCCCTAAACACACATATTTGTTATTCAGTTGATTGGTTGTTGACATCATCATGGTCAACCCATGCTCTTATCACAAGAATGTGGTCTCTCAGTTTTATTGTTGAAAATTCTTCTATGAGTAATTGACAGTCAATGGTATATATTCAAAGTTTTTATTGTTGCCTATTGTTAACAAGACAATCACCAACCAAAGAACATTATTTATATATCTTTGGGTCACCATACAGTCTTCAACAATGAGCAAAAGATCACATCATGTCAAGTATGACCAGGCAATGATATTATTTAAAGTTCATCAATTTTTTTCTGAGATTAATTTTTATATTTTGGTCTGATGGAGCAGTTATTGGATAAAGTTTCCTGCGGCAGAATGTTGCTATGACAATTAGCATGTAGAGGGCCTTGAGAAGACACTAGCTTGAATATTGCTGAATATGGTATTCACCCTGAATTCAATCCGAATTCAAGGTGAGTTATTGGTTTAAACAATGTTGAAGCAACCATTATTCAATATTGATTCAAAGTTAAATATCAACGTTGATTCAACGTAGGATTTCAACGTTGATACAAATTTGCAAAATCTAATAATAATTCAACATTGATTCAACATAGAAAATAAACATTGATTCACTGTTAAATCAACGTTGTGTGCCTGCTGGGATACATTGTATATGAGAAGCTTGATTTTTTTTAATATTTGTACTTTTGGATATATGAAATAGATCTATATGATAAGCATACCAAATAGATATTCTGTTTTGACTGTAATGAGTAAAACAAGTGTACAATAAATGGACTGGTGGCCTGGGCCATTGCATCTCTTTCTGCCAAAACTAAAATGAAAAAAAAAAATACTTTCAGAACACTAATATTATTTTTAACAAGAATAAGATGTTATTACTAACACTGGGTCGATGCCTCTGCTGGTGGACTGATAGTCCCCGAGGGTATCAGCATCCCAGTAGCCAGTATTTCGGTTCTGGCATGAAAATACGGATTTAGTGTTATTGAAATTTCCTGTTACAAATTGTTTGAAATTATTTAAAATTAAGGAATGTATCTCCCTCATGCAAAGCTCTGATTCCCTGCCCGGCTTTGGCTATATTTTTTTGTCCTTTTTGGCTTATAGCTCTTTTTCTTTTTAATAAGCTTTGGATTTTCAAATATTTTGACCTCGAGCATCACTGAAGAGACATTGATTGTCGAAATGCGCATCTGGTGCAGAAAAATTGGTACCGTTTATGTTATTACTACCACTGGGTCAATGCCTCTGCTGGTGGACTGATAGTCCCAGAGGGTATCACCAGCCCAGTAGCCAGTACTTCAGTACTGGCATGAAAATACGGATTTAGTGTTATTGAAATTTCCTGTTACAAATTGTTTGAAATTATTTAAAATTAAGGAATGTATCTCCCTCATGCAAAGCTCTGATTCCCTGCCCTGCTTTGGCTATATTTTTTTGTCCTTTTTGGCTTATAGCTCTTCTTCTTTTAAATAAGCTTTGGATTTTCAAATATTTTGACTTCGAGCATCACTGAAGAAACATTGATTGTCGAAATGCGCATCTGATGCAGAAAAATTGGTACCATTTATGTTATGTCAGGTATCACTAGCAGAGCAGGAACTAAAACAAATAACTGTCTAATTTTGTTGTATAAGTACTAATAATCAATCCTAAAGTAAAATGTATGATCATAGAATACCAAAATATTGCATATTTGCTGTAGTAAAGAAAAACAATTAAAAAAATGTCCGACTCAAGGTTTGTGTCCGATTCAGTGGCATGTTACCCTATTTTTGCCTAATTCTTAAAAAAATTATGCAATTCCTGTAAAATGTTTTTTATAATAAACCATACCTTGATCCCCCAGATTTTTCTGTACCATGTCAGCCTTTTTCATCACTTTAATGGCATAAATTTTATTTCTATTAATCTTTTTACATCCTAAGAAAACTTTCCTGAAACAGTGCATGAAATACAATGTCTGTCTATAATACATAATTGATACATAACCAACATTCAACGAATTTCAAATAATTTTGAATAGCAAAGCCTATTTAAGTCCTAACTTTCCATTATAATGAAATCATCTGAACAATAATGGATCTAAGTAATATTTGTTATGCCAACTTCTACAGATTCACCTGTGAGTGTTATTTAATTTAAAGACTGTTCATGCTGTACATGTACATCTTAAATGAATAAGCTGTTACCTTGGCCTTTTTATTTTTCTGAATTAATCATAGAAAAATATGAAAGAAACAGATCTGTATTATAAAGGTAAATGTACAAAATGTACACTGTGTGTAACAGAAATCTGATAAAGCCTGTCTTCTTAGCTGTAATTCATACATGTTATACAGTTTCAAACATCCTTTTTTATATTAATAGTCACTTTAATGTGTAAATAAATATTTAAAAAGTTGTATGTGGTATCCCTAGGCCTTTTAGCATCATGGTAATGTGATGCTATTGGAGATGTTTTTTTTTATTATAATTTCTAGAAACAAGATGGTATTTCAAGATGCTCTGTTTACCAGGATGTTATATGAAGTTGTGGGGAGAATAATTACTGTTACACTACTGTCCCAGCTTATGGGGATGGTTTGGTGCCACCAAACATGTTTAACCCCGCCATATTCTGCCTGTCCCAAGGCATGAGCTGGTAATTCAGTGGTTGTTGATCGTTGCTGTATATATACTTGTTTTTTGTTCATTGTTTTGTACATAAATCAGGCCCCTTTAGTTTTCTCGTTTGAATTGTTTTACATGTCATTTCAGGGCCTTTTATAGCTTACTATGCAGTATGGGTTTTGCTCATTGTTGAGCCATAGAGTGACCGTTGTTAACCTCTATGTCATTTGGTCTCTGGTGGAGAGTTGTCTCATTGGCAATCATACCACATCTTTTTATTTTTATATGTAACTTACCCAAATGCTCCTCTACTGATAGGCTTTATGAAATCAAAATCTTCTATATCTGGAGGCTGAAAAACATTTCATGAATGTTTATGAATATTGTAGATAAATCATATTAACATTTAGGGGCGAGCTGAAGCCCATCTCCGGGTGCAGAATTTTCTCGCCGAGCTAAAACCCCATTGGTGGCCTTGGGCTGTTTTATGCTCTTTGGTCAGGTTATTGTCTCTTTGACACATTCCCCATTTCCATTCTCAATTTTATTGTATTTTCAAAGCTTTTCATTATTTAGGCTGTTTCATTGAGGAACTTTGTCAGTAGTTGTATGTCTGTATTTTATCATATCTTAATGTTTCTTGTTATTTGGAGAGTTTGGTGTTTATTATAGGGTAGGTCTTTTCACCGCTGAACACCACCGCACACCACCGAACACCCCAAAAGTGAATTAAAACTATGAAAAAAAAACCAATAATGTGTGTCAATTAAAGCAGAAAACTGTTGAATTTGTTTATTTTTTATCGCAATTTCAAAGAATAATTAAACGGAGAATACACACAGCGTTTGTGAAAGTCTACTTATTATGTTATTGTTTCTCTGAATCAAATACATACGATTCAATGTCTATTTCAACGGTGTTCAGTGTGGTCGGTTACTCTCCTTTTCTGTACGATGTTAAAATTCTGTTTCATTTTATTTTAGTTTTTAATGTTTTTACTTAATTACAACAAAAGTTGAAATAAATTTAAAAAAAAATGATTAAAAAGTATGATTATGGGTGTCTGCGATGTTTTGCCGAGTGTTGATGACTCTTCTACTCTTTTGGGTGTTATAAATTGGTCTCGTTTCCTTTTTATTTGTTAACCTTTCTATTAAAATACCTGAAAATATTGTTTTTTTCATAGTTTTAGATTATTTTGGGGTGTTCGGTGGTAAGTGGTGGTTTTCGGCAGTGAAAAGACCTAGCGTTTATTACTATTATATTACAGACATGACAGATCTTAGATCTCTCTGTTTAAATTATTCACAAATTTTATAGCCTTAGGAGCTCAACACACATAGTGATCAATGATGTGCATTGTATTGTATAGAAAATGCACAATATTTTTGCAAACCATGTTCATGTGTTACATTTATCAAGCTACTTACTTCCCATAAACCAGGGCTCGACAATAACGCTTGTCCGATACCAGAGGAAAAAATTTCATAAGGGTTCCGCGGAACCCAGTGTCTCGCCTACTTTTTCTGTTAATCGCAGGCTCAACAAAAATGAGGAAGTAAATCAATAAAAATATTCCTCTTGATACTATCTTTTGATTGTAAGAAGCTTCTGTCCAAGTTTGGTAAAAATCCAGGATAGTTTATGAATCTAATAAATGTTTAAAAACTTTAACTGCAGACTGAATGTAATGTTAACTGGAAGAAAACCAAAATTTCCTTCTAGATACTAGCATTTGATCATAAACAAGCTTCTGTTAAAGTTTGGTACAAATCTAAAATAGTATAAGAAAGTTATTAAAATTTTAAAAACTTTAACCACAGAGTGAATGTGTTGTTTCCTGACAGAAAATCTAAGTCCATTTAAAAGTAAAATACTGAAAAAATGGATTTATTATTTTACAAAATTTCCTTCTAAATACTAGCTTTTGATCATAAACAAGCTTCTGTCCAAGTTTGGTACAAATCCAAAATAGTATAAGAAAGTTATTAAAATTTTAAAAACTTTAACCACAGAGTGAATGTGTTGTTTCCTGACAGAAAATCTAAGTCCATTTAAAAGTAAAATACTGAAAAAATGGATTTATTATTTTACAAAATTTCCTTCTAGATACTATCTTATGATCATAAACAAGCTTCTGTCCAAGTTTGGTATACAGATACAGATACAGATACCACATGCACCCGAGACACATGTGGCGATGATGTGCCTTTGGCTTTGGGTCATCATAGATCCCCTTCCACGAGACAGCAGCAATCTTAATCTTAGTATAGTTGTATAAATTGACACCTTTATAACTTGTTCCATCTTTGTCCTGATAATTGTTTTTCAATCTCCCTCATTCACATTTTTTGGAAGTTGACATTATGTCTTGTTTACATTTTTCATATTTGCATTAAAGCGCCAAGTACCATCAAATCTCCTGTACTAAAAAGCAATGTCAAGGGAGGTAATAATTAGCAGACCTCCAGATATTACTCGAAAACTCTAATTATATGGCTTAATCTGGGACATTATATATTAACAAGTATAATAGTCCCAGGTATAATACAGATTATATTGATAAAAGAGTTAGACTATTATTTTGAGACATATGTCACTATCGCTCGATTAAAATTCAATATAATTTGAGGATTACGATTTTTGTGTCTTGTATGAATTAGAGTTTTCGGGGATTCCAATCAGTTTTCGGAGATTATTTTACCAGTTTTGGGATATTAATTATGTGTACAAGTTCATTTTCTTTACCTAGAGTTAATGACTCAATCCCTATTTCGCATCTGTAGGGACAGGTTTTATAAAACATGGTTTTGTTAATGAATTATTAAATTCAAATTTCTTGAAGATTTTTATTTTCAAAATAGAAAATTAGTAACAAAAATATTTCTTTATTTCAAGAATTCTTGTTCCTGTACTGCAGAATTGAAAAAAAATAGTTGAAAAAAGACAGTCAGAGGTAAATAATTTTTCACCATTTAAAAATTCCGCTATTATTTCATATAAAAAACACATTAAATTATCAGTGTAAAAAAAGTCAACTTTCACCAAATATTCAGAAAAAATCTATTTACCAGACCGTTTCAAACGAAACAGACTTCAAAGAAGCATATTCTGACTTGTAGATCATTTCCAAACGAAGCTTCACTGCTGAGCCACACTGTTTAAATATTTGTTAGCACTAAGAATCAGTTTCAGTTACTAACCAAAATGATATTCTAAACAAAAATCATTAGTCGACAGAGGACAGAAAATAACATAACAAAAGAATAAAAACACAAACACAATTAATACATGTGGTCCACAAAACACTGCACAGAAAGTTAAAGATTAATGGGTTACACGGACCAATCAAAATCTGGGATGTACTACATGTAAGTTGCCACATAAGGATAAGCAGTTTATGCTCATCTAGCATGGCTATATAGTGGCATCCGTTGCACATGAAAAATAAAATCCGCTGAAAAATCGAATTCTGTAATAAGTCATTAAGGGGTAGTAAATTTTACTATAAAAAAGTAAAATGTGTCTGAGGACACGAATGCCCACGCTCAAGCTTTGCAATTTTCCATGTTAAAAAGGGACATAGAACGGTAAATGACTCACAACTATGTCTGCGTGTTGTGGTTCTTATAGCATTGTGTATGAGTTTCATAAAGTTTGCATGAGGCAAGCTTAAGTAAGGGTGCGGAAACGAAAATGGGACGGACAGAAGGACGGACGGAAAGACGGACGAAAGGACAGACGGACAGACGGAAAGACGGACGAAAGGACAGACGGACAGACGGAAAGACGGACGAAAGGACAGACACGTGAGCGGACGGTTAAGGGTAACACTTAATGCCTTCGTTGCCTACGGCGGGGGCATAAAAAAGGAATAAGATTCCAAGAGGATCATAAAAAAATCATAAGTTAAAGAAAATCGGACAATATCATGACCAAAAAGAAATACGTCGAAAAGAATAACAACAATCTATAATACCGTGACTACTCCGAACATAAAGGCTGAGCATTATGACCGCACAAAAAAAACCCGGGTTAGCGGGAAAAGAATGAAATCAAGAAAAGAAGAAAAAAATAGTCTCACTTGAAGTAAGTACTATGCTAATTAGATAAAACTGAGATTTTATAAACAAGGTTTATAATTATATGCAAAATTATTTCATAGTACCACAATCAAGATCGTTATGTATGAAAATAGAATCGACATTGCTATCAATAATTGGAGGATCAATGAATTTCCATTAAAAAAGCAAACTTTTCAAAGGTTTTTGCTCAATCCTATACACTAAATACAAGGCCTTAACATAAGAACTGTTACCACTGATTTTATGGATCCAAATATGTGGACAAACTAGAATGTGCGTATTCACTACAAAGCACGATCTAATAGATTTTACCTTTCGAAATAAATTATCCTTTCATAGCATGTAAAAGTTGTTCTCAGATACCAGGCTTATAATTAGGTTCACCAGCATTTCGCCTACATCAGACTCACAAGTTGCCGTCCATCTAAAACCTTGGTAGGCGAAATTAAATATGAAGTTGAAGTATATCGAAAACCAAAAATTCCGAAAAGTTGTGTTGAATACGGCTTAGGCTATCTTTGACTGGGGGTCGAAATGAATAATTCATTTTTCTTAAACAGTGAATTTAAGGAAAATAAACGTATCAGTGATATTTCATGTCAACACAACACGAACGTGCTGACGCAGACCCAAAAGTGGCGCTTGAATAAAAACAGTTCCGAACAGGCAAAATCAAATACGAAGTTGATAAAGCTTGAAAACAAATAATTCCGAAAAATTGTGTCAAATATGGATAACAACTATTTTCAGTTCATCCTGAAAAAAAAGCGTTTTACATATTTTACAGACAAAATTGGAAAACTGAGTCAAAAATACAAATTAATACCCCGCTACATCATTTATTAACTTGGAAAAGTCCATGTTTTGTTACAGGTAACCCCAAAATTCATTCATAAAAATCAAAAAAAGGATTATGCATAATGGCATCATGTAATAAAATTTCCATGAAGGTTTCACCGAATTTCACACAGTGGTTATGGAGGCGATTTGGGTGCAATGTTGGGATGGACGGACAATCGACCGTAACTCCAAACGTGATATCATATAAAATACAATAGATTCAAACGTACGCGTATCAATACCAAAAAAAGATAAACGACTTTTACTGAAATTTTAATCCTATGGTGGAGATATGTATGACAATAAAGATGACAAGGAATATGCTATTGGAGTATGCATTTCCATTTGAAAACAAAATATATAGAATTATTTCAAGCTCCTGGAAAAGTTTTTGGGATATTAATTAGATTTTGGTTTGAACGAAATTTCACAGTGACCTATAGCTGTTAGTTTCTGTTTCATTTTGTCTCTTGTGGAGAGTTGTCTCATTGGCAATCATACAGTGTACCACATCTTATTTTTTATATTTATATACTAGATTTGACCAAATATCAAGCAATGCAGCTCTTAGCTTTTCATCTAAATTTCGCTAAACGTCAAATATTTTTGGGTGAAAACATTATATGATGTCATATACATACAGTGTTCGTTTATTTGTAATATCTAAAATGTTAATGCATTTTAAGAAATCTAGAAATTATTTATAGAAGATAAAATCTTTTGGAAACATACCTGAATTAGGTTCATGAAACAGAATCTAATTAGGTTCACATCAAGAAAGTCCCCACTGCAATGACCATCGTCTTTAATAGTTTGAAACATATCCATCTAAAACTGAGCACTTTCTTTTCGTAAAATATTCCACCAGCTTTCAATCCGTTGATTACATTTACTTGTACCATAAAGAAATGCGTTTGTTTCATGGCCATCACAGTCTCGTATAGCAACCTGCAGTTACCGAACAATTCCATTTTCAGTTCCAAGGTCTGCCCTGATACATCGAGGACAACCACCTACCTCACGTACGGTATCAATAAAATACCCTGCAATTACATAAGGGTCTTTGTTCGTTGTGTCAGCTTCTAACCACATGATGCTGCGTGAAAATCCATCAATGCATCCATGAATGCATATTCCATAGGCTTGTCATATCCGTCCATGTGCCAAATGTAGTTAGGACCGTCATTCATATATGTTCGTCTAGTCAATTTTCTTGCTTTCGACATTTCACACCAGTTGGGTCAAGGCATTTGATTATGAGTTGGACAGATTCTTTGTCTATTTCAAGTCCTCTCTCTAAACATTTAGTGTGCATCCATCGGTACCCATGCAGTTGTCCAGATACCTTT